GGAAAAAGCAGCTCGACAATGTCGCATCTGCTTGCTTGCTTGCTTTCTTCTTCGTCTATTCATTACCGTAATAATACTCTAGAGTATTTCCTACATTCAATTGAAATCCGGCTTTTATTGAATGTTCTTATATGAAGAAGAGAAGAAAAGATTATTTTCATCATTAGATTTAACAATGTAAAGAAGATATTTAATGATGATCGATAGTCCTTGACATCATTCGGTTACAAACAATTTCTTCTTCTCAACTCATGTAATTCTATTATCTCATTTACAGAAGATGATTATTGTTAGACAATCAAGTACTTCAACCGACTGTCGATGATATTTTCAAGTATTTCAATAGGACAAACTTACTTTAATTCAAAGAAAACATCGTCTACTCTGTCGCTTTTTGTATGTGTTAGTATTCCATGCATGGAGTCTGACAATGTTTTCTTCGGGAATCCTCCTGAGAACAAACGATTGTCAATATTAACTAAATTTTTCGATCGAAATTCATCATTGTCAATATTTATGTATGCGAATAGAATGAATGTCAGATTGAATTTATTTCACACAGAGTCTTTGAATCAGGACAAGAATGATTAATTTTAAATGAGAAGAAAACACGACAATTTGATGGAATATTCAATGCGATGCATCAGATTTTTCATTGAGTTATGCAATTTCTAATCTCAATGGAATGAAGATGAATTTGAAGTGTTTTTTTTTCACTTCAAAGCAAGAAATCTTCGTATATTTACATGCGAATTAAAATGATTTTTTCTATACAATTCAAAATCTTCTTCGAGTAATCGTTTAATTGCTGTGTTTTTGCTGTAGTAAGGTAATCGATGGTAATGGAGTTCGTGAACTCGAACTGTTTACAGTTCTGGTCAATAAACTCGTGACAACAGGATGATTATTGACAACCGAATCATCTGTGTTCAGATCTGTTCGATATCGTTTGTTGGTGTCACCTCGATCATTCTCAGACGATGAACGTTTGAATCCATTCGAGTTCTGTTCGACGATCGATTGTTCGTTGGCAAATAGATTGCTGACGATCGATGTGGTAGGTAATGTGTCCAAGAATGGAGAGAGTGGTTCGACTGTTTCGTTGACGATGCTTTTTGGATCAATTACCTAAAGAAAAAGAGTAGATTTGTTTTTCATCTTAGAGATGAAAATTACTTGAGATTCGGGTAGGTGAACTAGTCGTTCAAGTGATTGAAGTGGATGTGGATGGGACTCATTCATTGGAATGATCGGTCGATTTGCTGGAATTTGTGGATGGGGAAATTGTGGCATCGGTTGATGATTATTCCACGGAGGATATGTCATTACTCGTTGATTTGGCGGATAAAAGTGAGGAGGATGAAGATTGTAAGCACTTCCACGATAGATCATATCAGCAGGTGGTTGTTGTGAAAACGAATTCTCGAATGGGAGGTGGACGGCCGGTGAGAAGGACGATGTTGGCGGTGGTTCAGATGTCAAATCGAGATATCGAGGTGAGTTAAGACCTATGAGAATCACACGAAATAATCAGTGGAGATTGAAGCGTAAAGAAAACGAACTATTCACGCTTTGCTTCAGAAGTAAAACATTTTCCATAATGGTGTAGATATCAGCAGGACATACACCTAAGTTCTGAAGTTGCGCACTGGTCAATTGACATACCTAAAATAAAAATGATGATTATGCATTTTACAGAGCGAAGAAGAAGGAGGAGAACATTACTGATTGTAAAGTCGAATAACCAAGTTGTTCAAATCGTTCAGCATATTTGCTGCATGTGAATGTATCAAGCCATTTTGCTACCGATGCCATTGTTCTAGTTTCTGCTTGATTTACACGTGTTCAATCAGATTTATGTCCCGTGATTGGACACGATACAATTCTCTCAAGTTCATCATTCATACAAACTGACGTGTAGATTCCCATTGGATGTGCATGACAGCCAATCAGTATTGATCGATGTTTGTGTAGAGTATCTATGTATTATTTTTCAAGTTGTCAGTCAGTCAGTCATCTTCGAGAATGTATGAAAACAAATGACGACAAATCAATTATTAGATCGATATAAAGCTTGTTTGGTATTGAGTGGCGCCGGAGATGCATTAGGGTAGGACTGAATTGTATATTTTTTGTTGTTATTCTCCTGCTTCTTCTTCTTCTTCGTTTTAGATATCGAAGCGGAATATGGCAGTTTAATAGTAACGGTAGAGATATTCATCGTGAATTAAACGAGAGATTTGGTCAGATTGAAGACATTCGAATCGAACGTGAGTGTTGATGTTGATAGTTGTTTGATTGATCTATCGATTATTTCTAGTTCCACAATGGCGTGTTAGTGATGATACAATACTTCATATCGCTGTTGGCCAAGGTAGATATCGAAATGTTGTCTAAATGCACGAAATATCTGCAATTCTGATATTCTATTTCGCAGCTCTTGTTGAACATGGCGAGAAGGACCCGTCACCGGCATTATATTCACGAGTAGTGAAAAAATTCAAAGAAATCTTGAATGACCTAAAAAATCGTCATCCTAGTATGTCTATATCACAATATCCTATGTTAAACTATCCTTGTTTTTCATCAAGGTTCAAGTACTGTATCGGCAATTAGTCGTTTATCAGAGAAAGATTGGTCACAACCATATTCTGCTGTGTAAAAGATCTTCAACAACATGAAAAAAGTATAAAAAAAAGCATTCTAAATTATAGATCAAATGACTGTACAGCCGCTGTTCGATCGATGGTCATTGGTCTGCGTTACTCTCAACCTTCGGAGTTCGAAAATCTCATGCGAGTTTCCCTCGAAATCTCACGTATGACACATACGCATACTTGGGGTTTTCTCGGTGGATTTACTTCGGCATTATTTACCTCCTATGCTATTCAAAATAAACCAGTCAAAACATGGAGTCAGTCTTTAATCGAGATTCTACCCACTGTTCAAGATTACATACAGACGCAACAACGACCTGATCTAGCACAAAATATGCGAAGTTGGTAAGGAGTTCAACTTGAAGTAAACAAGACTGGAATTAAAAACATTTTTTTGGATCAGGTTGTCGTTTGAAACCTTTTGGAGAAATTTTATTCCTCAACAAGAAACGAATGTCAAAGATCTTGACCAACGCGATGAATTCTATCGGCAGTTTTCCCATGCTGGATGGGCGGGTGCAAGTGGAACTGATTGCATTGCACTAGCGTATGCAAGACAAGGCCGTACTTTCTTTGATAATGATGTTTTTCTTTGATCTAGTTATAACGCTTTATTAACGTGCCGCGGATCATGGTCTGAATTGTGTAAACGAGCGGCTTTGCACGGTGGTCATGGTGATGCGACAGGGTGTATTGCTGGCGCTTTATTTGGAGCTATTCATGGCTTTGAGAATGTCCCAAAGCAAAATTACGAAGTATGAAAACACAGTTTTAACTTAAATGTTCACGGATGAATATTTCAGAATGTGGAGCACCATGATGAGCTCGAAACAATCGGTAAGAAGTTATTTCATTTATGTCAAGGGTCGGTGCAACCCAAAGAAAAAGTTGAAGCAACAGCTGACCAGCGTGGTCCTTGCGTGCATTTTGTATTCATCCCATCAGATATTCTCGATAATATGCCGGCATTTCGTCAATGGCGTTTATCGAAATCCGCCAAAGCTGAAGACAAAAGTAATGTCCTATCAAAATTAGTTTTTCAAGGCTTAAAAATCAATTAATCTAGTCATATCTATTTGTTTTTGTCAAAATCGATGTTGTAGTTTTTATTTGAAAGATACACGAACAAACAAATAAAAAAGCCAAAAGTTTCTTGATGTTTTTTTTTCTTAATTTTATAAATATTAGATTAAAACACAGAAGCCACTACTTTTTGTATCGGCCATTTTACTCGGATCGGTTTGAATGTATTTATATCGTTTCACTTCAGTCGTTTTAGATACATCGTCTTTCATCGATGAATCGGCTTTCCGATAATGATCCGATTGTAGATGATCTTCGAACGCTTCTTCGTTCTCCCACGCACCAATCAATGTAAACTGGCATTGATCGGCCATATTTTGGAATAATTTATATTTTAAACATCCATCTTCTTTTCGCGTTGGTTCGAGTATACCGGCGAGGAGTTCACGAACTTTTTCTTCGGCATGTGGTTTGACGAAAACATCGATAACACAATGGATTACCGAATGCGACATGCTGGTAAGTAATTAGGAATGAAGTAACTAAGAAACGAATGTTTAATGTGGCCGATGATAGTTGTAAAATGAGTTAAGCAAGAGAGAAAGACGGTAAATGTTTCCTTTACTCTTCTCGTTTTTTGTTAATTTTCATCGTCAACAGAATGCCGGATGAACACAGATGAGCAAGTCAGTATGTTAGATAGAGAACGAACAAGAAGAAATAGAAGAATATATTTTTTTCATCTCCCTGACATCACATTCTTTTCTCCTGGTTTGCTAGATGAGATAAAAAAACAACTTACTTGCTTGTTGTAATATATTTCTCTTCTCTCACTGGGTTAGGAAGGATTTTCCTCTTTTTTTACAGGAAAGAAACTTGTTCTGCTAGCGCAAAAAATAAAAGTTAACAATTCAATTAGACTTAGAGAAGATGAAGAATTGTAAAGTATTGCTCGTTTTTCCTCCTTCAGCTCCTTTTCTACTCAATACCTTGACGAATGTTGACAGCCAGAGAATATAAAGCAGTTCAAGCGGATATTGAAATTTGTGAAAAAAAAACTTTTTCTTTGACTTATTTCAGATGACAGACGCAAGGAAATCCGTAGTTTATGTTGTCGCTGATCTTTGGCCGTTCCCTGAGAAAGCAAAAGAAGCTAAACAAATCTTAATTGCAGTCGTACCCGAAGCAAAAAAAGAACGATCGTGTCTGAAATATGAATTATGCGAAAATTACAACGATCAGGCGCAGTTGACACTGCTTCAAGCTTGGTCAACCGAAGAAGCCCTCGAAGCTCATCTCAACGGCGAATTAATCACGAAAGCCAGTGAAAATCTTCGAACGCTTCTCGCTCTACCAACAGTCATCCGGCGGTATAAAAATATCGGCTAACAAACTTCTCCCATCCTCATCAATGTTGTATGTTTAATGAATAAAGTATCCAAAACATGAAAACGAATGACTCGATAACGTCATTCATATCTGTTTGTTTTTTCTTCAGAAAAGTCGTGTCAGTAGAATTCCAACCTCATCTTTCTCACGAAACGTATTTCCCGGAAGGAATAACATTACACGTTACGGATAAATACAGCCTTGTAATGAAATGACACTGCAATTAGTACTTTTCCAAAAGCGGTCTTTTTTATTAGAAAAGAAGAGATTTTCTAGATAAGTTTTCGACCGACTTCACCGGAAAAATCGTACGTCGGATAATCATTGTTGTTTTGATTTTGTGGAAGAGATGCTCTGTGAAAGAGATTCGGAGACAAATGAAGTTGCTGCATTCCGATGCCGCAATGATACGGAAGTGACATTCGATCGGGCGGTTGAAATGGAGGAGTAATAAGTGTCGAGTTCAAGTTCGTTAGAACAGCTGATTGAGCGAGTAGATTTGTCAATAAATACGTTCCTATCGCTGCTATAGACTCATTTGTGTGGGAGTTTCCTTTGATATCTTCTGTTTTATGTAAAAACTGACATCGTGTGCCGTATTTACAATGTCCCAAAAGAAAATTTCGACACAGTTCAGTTTTGTACTTCGGATGTCGTGTACGAGAACGTAATTCTTCGTATCCATGTGCAAACTGACAGCGTGATAAATAGGAGCATAAACCATAGATAGAAAAATTGCGACACAACTCTGTTTTATATTTCACTATTGATTGATATAAGCAAACTTTAGTAGCTCTTGAACATTTTCACTTACGATTTTCTAATTCAGTTATCGATCGTCCTTCGCTGTCGTGATTGGACTCGGTTCGACTTACTATTGACGACATCGCTTGGAAAGTTTCGTTGGAATCATCTATTGATAGCCGGTCACCAATCGCATTCGCTAGGCTTGTTCCTGGTTGAAAATTAGGCAGACCTTTGACCGAAAGGAAAGAGTTCATCTTCGATATCTATGCAACAAATTCGTACTTGAAGTTTGATCTTTCATTGGCGTTCTCTATCGATTAAAATAGATGATCAATACATGTCGAGAATGAATGTTGCAGATATCTTTTGTTAAAAAAATGAGAAGAGAAGAGTTAAGTTATGAATATGAATTGAATGTGTCTTTAGCTTTTCGTACTTTTTATATTTACAGGCGCGTTCGGAAAAAGCACAAATTGTAACTAGGATTCGTTTCAGATGACGGAGGAGCATTCCACATTATTTGATCAATATGATATTCAGATATCCAACACCGAACGACGAAATTCGAGTATTGCGATTCAAGATTGTTACATCGTCTACTTGATTGAGTGTCGGTAAGTGCAACTTGTAATCTTTTGCATTGCAGATCTCGAATTATCTTTCCAGATTGAAGGCAAATAAAGAGGATGAATCGATCTGTGTCTTTCGTCGATATTCAGACTTTGAAACTTTACGAAATTACCTTGTCGCGAAATACTCGTGGGTTATCGTTCCAGTTCTCCCGGAGAAAACGGTAGGAATCTTCCTCGATTTGATGATAGAAACAAACTTTCTTCTCAAAAGATCTCTCATACATGGTCCAAATCGCATCAAGATCGAACCAGTGTTGAAGTGGTCGAACGACGACGTGTTTTACTTGAAGTATGAACTCATTTATCAAATACAGCTTTGTACTGATTTCTGTTGTAGCGCTTTCTTCAACATGTTTGTGCTCATCCAACTCTTTCAGCAGACTCCGCTGTTCAAACATTTTTACTCCAGAACGATGGTTGGAAACACATTGTAGACACCAGTCATGTACTTAACAAAGTAAGGAACGTTATACAACAACTTGATCTCGAAAAGCAGAAGAACGTCGTGTATTTACGGAAGAATTTTTAATTATTTTCCACTCCACTGATCCGTATCCGATAAACCCATAGAAAAGCTTTTGTTAATTAGCTTTCGATTCTATTAATAGAAAGCAAACGTTGCTCTCGTGTAAGAATGAATGACTAATTCTCATTTGTAATTGTATTCTAGTCCGAATCTTTGATTCCTTCGTTTAAACTGAACTTGATGCAACATGAACGCACAAAAGATAAGTAAGACAAATGAATAACCGTTGATTTCGACTGAAATCTAAATGTCTTTAGACGATTTCTTGATGCCTATCAATACGCGATCGATTTGAATAATGTTCTGCACAATGTTCTCCGAGCACGTGCAGTAAGTTTAAAAAATATGTTGTCTTTTCTTGATACGAATTGTTCATCTCCGACGAATAGAAACTCGCCGACCGCATATTTCTATATTATCAGTCGCATAATCAACTTGGTCGATTGTTCAGCGAGTGGAGTACAACGGAAGATAAACTCGGCGATTCACTACAACGCGCGGGACATTTTCTCGATAGGTACTATCTTCTTCACCATGAATTCTTTTGCTTTTACGCATATTTGCATAGTTTTGCGGGACAAATTGAAGAATATCTTCATGAGGAGGACGCACTAATGGATTTCTTAAAACATCAAGCATCCTATTGTGATGTTATCAAGTAGGAAAACGTGTTTATCACTGATAAGAATCTCGTTTTGATGTTCATACAGGTCAGTAGTCGAAAAACACGAACAATTAGTCGAAGATAATTCGAAACAGGAAACGACGTTAGGAGTTAAACGAACTCAACGCGATGCCTATGTGAGTTGAATGGTTTGATGTTACATGTGATTGAAAGTGATCTTTCAATAGGCAACTGGGAAAATGAATTTTTCAGTCAATGCATTGAAATCGAAACTGTTTGGTGAAAACGATCAGACGCGTTATGCGAAAATCGAAACCATGGATTCGGATATTAATGACGCGGTTCTACATTGCCAAAACGCAGATATTCGTGTGAAGTAAAATTTTCATGATTTGAAAGGATATTCGTACAATTCCCTCTGATTTGATGTAGAGAATTCAATAAAAATGCTCTGATTGAACTTGATTTCTATAAAACAATGAAAGAAGAACAAATGCGTGAAATCCTTCGTTCATACTGCCTTCTTCAAGCTCGAATTGCTAAAGCGGTTTGTTTATTTGTTTCTCATCATTGGAATCGATTTTGACTTTTCCGTTCATTTAGGCTTTGAAAAGTTGGACAAATATTCGCGATAGTTTCTCTAGTGGACAAACACCAATTTAAACTTCAAAATACATACTTTTCTCTTGTACAAGTCAAATTCTATCATACATTCCGTTTTAATTCATTTACGTTGCATGTATTTTTTATCTATTTATTAAATCTTCTCACTTTCGTGTAGTCAATCAACACATTTTACTCTAGATGATAAAATCATTCCTTTTCGCTTCAGATTTCGTTATGTACAGTTTTTTTGTATGATCTCGAGTGGAGTTTTCCACAAAACGTTCAAGTTATTTTGTAAGTTATACACAGTCACGTCAATTCCGTTAATGGTGTCGATGACTCAGCGGATGGAATATTTTGTTTTCATTGGAAACAACTCTTATTTTTAGTTTCCATGTCCCGTAAACTTCCTCAACCTCGGCCAACGCAAACAAATGCTACTAGTGGTTTGAAAGACTTGTCCAATAAGTTTTCTAAGGTTCAAATCAATAAAAAACCGTATGTCAATTCTCTTTCCATTATTTTCCAGTTATTTCCTACCTTGCTGTTCAGAGCTAATCGGCAATCTTCTTCGAAAGCAGCTGCTCTTGATAATCTCATCGAATCAATTAAAAACGGGAAATACAAACGCATTGTTGTTCTAGCCGGAGCAGGAATTTCAACACCCAGTGGTATTCCTGATTTTCGGTAATGAAACATTTCTACGATCAGCTTTAGACAAAAAATATTTTCATTTAGAACACCAGGAACAGGCTTATATGACAATCTTCGACGTTATAATATTCCGTATCCAGAAGCGATCTTCGAACTGGACTATTTCTACCGTAATCCGAAGCCATTCTTTCATTTAGCGAAAGAACTTTATCCTGGTCGATATCTTCCGAATGTAATTCATTATTTCATTCGATATTTACACGATCAGAATATTCTTCATCGTGTCTACACACAAAATATTGATGGACTCGAACGAAGTAATTTGTTTCTAATGAAAAGGACACCTTTTTACATGAAGCTTTTCTTCTTTCAGTGGCTGGAATTCCAGCTGACAAGATTGTCGAAGCACATGGAACATTTATGACCGCAACTTGTCAACGCTGTGGCCAAAAATATGCATCCGAAGACATTCGTCAGCGAATCTTCGATGATGAAATACCAAGATGTACGAAAAGTTCTCGGTGCACTGGTGTGATCAAACCAGATATTGTTTTCTTCGGCGAAGATCTTCCACGTCGATTCGATATGTACTCACGTGATCTACCCAACTGTGATTGCTGTATTGTAATGGGTACTTCGTTAGCTGTTGCACCTTTTTCGGACATTGTCGAGTCAGTCTCACGTTCAACGGTGCGCCTGTTAATTAATCGACAAGTTGTCGGAACGTTCCTATCCCCGCGAACACACGATATAACCATGATTGGCGATTTAGAAATGAATATTAAAGAATTGCTCAAAAATTTAGATGTCATTGATCAAGTCATGGAATTAATGAAAAAAGAGAATGCTGATAACGAAAATAAACGACCGATCCCAGTGAAAATTTCAACAACGAATGAACAACTCAAAGCAGCGGAGAAATTTCTCGAACAAAAATCTAATTTAGCACCATTATCTCATTCCCGACAAGAAACTCGTACGACGACCGAATCGAGAACTGTGTATAGTGAATCCACGAAAACGATCGTTGAAAAGCACAACAATGCCTTGATCTTCAATCGAAAGGGAACGAAACCAGTTTTACCGGTTATTTCATCGAAAAAGGTCTCATCGCCATCGTCTTCATCTGAATCGTTGGACAGTTCGTTGTCAGAAAGTGATTTAAAGCCGTTTGGTTTTAAACGAAAATGAAGAGAATGGAAGCATTTGATAATGATTTTACTTCTGTTTTGTTTTATGCGAAATGAATGAACCGTTGATGAAAGTGATTTGCATTTTCATCTTGTTTATTTTTAATAAAAATACGAACGAACTGTTTTGCGAAATGATTCTCAAAATCTAAACAACGTATCTTAGCGTTCACGGGCAACGTTTTATTTATATCTTTTGAAGACTACGTAAGAAGACAATCAAAGAAAATTAAATCTCGTCTAACCGGTATATGTAGTTAAATATAAAAAATAGACAGAAAAATCATCCTTAATAAAAATTGCCATGAAAAGATGCAGGTATATGTACTGGAAGATAAGCACGTGCCAATTCTTTGAAATTACTGCCATCAAGAACCAATAGAAACGATCGTTTTGCTTTTTGGTCTAAAACAACCGATAAGACAACTCCGTTGTCTTCACCACTAGATCCATCGGGATTAGGAACGAAGATCGGTTCACTTGGTGATGTATATGGTTCTTCCCATTTGCAAACTTCTTGTTTTGTTTCAAGATCTAGTTTGATTAATGCATCAAACAATCGTCCTGGTACTGCTCGATCCCCATAAACATATCGATAAGGTTTACCGATAAAATTTGGATTGATGCGTGGTAATTCAAATTGAACAGGCACGAGACTATGTGAATAACTGAAACAATGATTGCCCTTTGGTTCTCGTGCATTCGCATTTGGTTCGGAACATGTATTGCCGTCTAAATCCAGTTCGAATCGTCGAAGATACCCACCACCCGATGGGAAAATATTGTCGCGTAATTTATCCAAGTGCAATTCATCGATAATTCGCTGATCATCAAACGCACAGATATCGACGAGAATCTTTCGTTTATTTTCTCCGCTTTCATAAGAATTAACATGATGAAAATGGAAGAATGCTGGTCCCGGAATATAAGCAACTTGTTCGCCGGTGTCTAAACTGATGACGCGAAAGTAGGTGGGCAATGTATCTCCATTCCATTTGAATGCCGACGAAGCAATTCCACCGGACATTAAAAACCAAAGACCGTAGAATTTATCGAAATGAAGTGGAATTTCACTAAGAATCAGATAATTTTCACTGATCGATGCTGAATGCATGTAGCATGTATGATTTGATGGGAAACGAAATGCCTTGGTGGTTTTCTTAATACGATGATTGTATTTCTTAGCGCGTTCACTCATATTCGTTGTTAAATGGACAAAACGACGATCCGATTCAAATAATTTATCAATATGATCATTATCATCTTCTAGAGAGGAATATTCAATATATGCAATCGAGATTAAACAAATTTCGTTTACCTTTGGTTCCTTCCTCTTCCGGTTCTTCCGGAATAAAAACGACATCGAGAAAATTTCCATTTTTCGTCGCTCGACTGCTGTAACCGACTGTCATTTTACGTTTAGCATCGTACATAACATGCGCGGTGGTTGTCGACATGATGGTCGACTCCTTTGGTTGACCGAAAGGCAGAGTGACAAGTGGACCGACGGGTTCAAGTGTGTCCGGATCAAGAACATTGCCAACAGGAATTTCGGTCAATGCTAATAATTCGTTTTGCACCATTTGAACAGTAACACCAGTATCATCAGTTGCTGTCGCTGGATCTTTGCCATAGAAAAATGATTGAAATCGACCGAAGATTGATTTACATGGATCAGTACCGAATTGTCGCATCATTAATTGTCCATTCTTGGTGGATTCGTTGTACGTACGAGACTTGACAAAGGAGCCGCGGAAACGAACTGTTTGTGATGGCCCATCGAAACTATATTTTTGTATATAGGCGAAGCCATCAAAGAGATGATTAAATGTCGTTGCGGCATCATTATTGATCTCATACGATCCGGGTCCGTTTCGATACAAATTGCCCTTCAACCATTCTGGTATTTTACCTTGAAATTCAATGGTTTTCTCCTCTGTACATTCCGTTGTCGTTGTGAACAGATTATAATTATTCCATGCGTCACTCTCACTTTTTTCGCAACACTGATTTTCCGTCATGATCTGCAATGGAAAATGTCGATGTAAAATTACGACACTAAAAATAAAATATGTCTTTATTTGAACTAAAATGAATTCTACTACATCAAAAACAAATAGACTGATATGACGTGTTCATTGTTCCGAATCTATTCTTGACCTTCACGCTCGCGTCGCTTGTATTCTCGAGTGCCTTCAATTGTAAGGACTAAACTTTGCGGTGCATCCATCGGTGGCATAACGACTTCGAGAAAGTGGAGTTTCTCTGTTTCTTGAACAGCTTGTTGCATGGCTTTTTCGAATTCATCACGTGTTTTGACTTGACCAGCGAAACCTGTTGTTGCCTGCGGACGATTTTGTTTTAAACCATTACCGAAGTATTCGAAGCTTTTATGATAACGCCACATTTGAATGTTATTGTAAGCACGATCAGGTCCATGAATCAATTTCTCGATTGTATAACCGTCGTTATTCAATAATAAGAGAACTAGATTGCTTTGAAAACGTAACATCGAAGAAATTTCTTGGCAAACAAGCTGAAAAAGAAGAACAATGCTTTTGACTCATTTACCAGCAATTCATCTATGTTTACTTGAAACGAACCGTCTCCAACGAAGACGAAAACACGTCGATTGTCCTTCTTTCCTGCCAACGATGCACCTAATGCTGCACCGACAGAATAACCAATCGAACCCCATAGAATCTGCGTTAAAAATGTTGCGCCTTTCGGTGCGCGCATATTGAAAATACCTGAATATGAACCAAACGTTAAGCTGTTATAAAATATCAATCACACTTACCGAATTCGGATGTACCCGTTTCAGCGACAATTATGGAGTTCTCGGGAATGAGGTCTGATAATTTATTCCAGAAATATTCATGGACAATAGCGTCCGATTTTGCATCTAATGCAGGTGGTGGGATTTCAAACGGTTTGAGATTCTTGTTATCGCGGACCAACTCCGCTGGCCATTGTTCGGTTAAGTCGGGTAATAACTGACGCATGTCAACTTTGTCGTAGATAGCATGAAAGATTTTCGTATGATAGGTGTGAAATTCTGCAAAGATACAAATCGATTTGTTCTTCATAGAATTGATAGAGATTTACCGATTGTTTTCTTTCGAGATAAACGATAGGTAAATCCACCGGTATTGAAATCACTGTTCATCGATCCGATTGAAAGAATGAGATCGGCATCGTAAATCTCCTTTTGAACTTGTTCGGTTGAACAATTACCGGAAAATACACCGCGAAATTGGGGATGGTTCTCATCGATACCACCTTTGGCCATCGGTGTTACGTAAACAGGTAATTTCGTACGATCAAGAAAAGTTAAAACTTTCTTCATCATTTCATGTCGAATCGCACAGCTATAGGAGAAGAAAGCGTAAAGAAATTTTCGCTTTGACAGGTATCTTTTGTTACGTACGCATCAACAATAACCACGGCGTTTTGCGCTCGTTTAGCAATATCAATAATTGCTTCAAGAGCCGCTTCATGTTCGTCTTTCGGATTGCGTTGCGTAGCCAAATTCAATGGTTTGATTTCCGCTGGGTCGATGTTAAGCTCATAATCGCTAAGATCAACTGCTAAGCCGATATAAACTGGACGACCCTTCATCAAACTAAAAATCGACATTCGTTTTTCGAACATGCGAAAGTGAATAACTGTACCATTGGGTAAGAACACGATCAATTTCTTCGACAGCGTTTGTCTTTGTTAAATTGGCTTGAGCAATCTATGAAAGACAAAAACAACCAAACGTGAAGATTTAGGACGACTGACATATCAACTGAACACATACTGTCACTTCCTTGTACATGTTTGCGAATGCACGAAAATCTCCGTTGCCTAATGTATGGTGAAGAATAGCCCCACTTGCTTGAGAAGCTGTTGGTGGCGTGCCAACAATATGCACAACTGGAACCATTTCAGCATAAGAACCAGCAATGCCTAAAGAACTTTATTATAAACAAATCATATTTGCCAAACACTCGTGTTTTTACCATTAATAGCAGACAATTCTCCAACACCAAATGTTGTTACAATTGCCTAAACGTCAACATGATCATGTATATATTCTTTTGCACTTGTGTGACTCACTCCGATGCCTCGAATACGTGCATAGCCATCTGCTGCATAGGACGCGTTTAATTCGTTACAATTGTTACCCCATTGAATGCTACCGAAATCTGAATGATGACGATGAGTTACATCGAAATAATCTTTTCATGGGTACATTACCTTCAATTTGATCAAGAAACGGCTGATATGAAACAAAAAGAAAAACAAGTGATATTTGCACAAGATAAAAGTTAAAGAAAAGACATACTAAATTATAGTCACCAGGTACACCGAAGATTATATCGACGCCTAGATCTTTTAAACGTCGAAGTAAATAGTTTCCAATCGTGATTTTCTTTGACGACATGGTTGGTGAGATTCCGCCCGTTTAGAATGAGAACGTTCTCTTTGCAAAACAAGCAGCATTTATATGTTGAGGGTTAATGTACCGAGCCGTATTTTTCTTTTTTTTTCTCGTTACATTTCGCCAGAGAAAGAGGAATAAAGACATTCTCTATTCATCAAACTCAACGTTCTTGTCGCAGAACTCGAGAAAAGAAAATTGCTCTGGTGAACGCCTAACTCTGTAGAAAACAACAGAAGGAAAGATAGATAGATGGATGAATGGAGGGATGTATTTTGTACTGCAGAAGATTGATTAATGGTGAATACAATGCGCCATTCGTTATGATCGTAAGAAAGATGTCGATAGCAACACATAGAGAACTTTGATGATATCGTGATTTTCCAAGGAAATTATTCTATTTCACACGAACTTGCGAGATTTTTATTTGACAAATATATTTGCAGAAACACTCGAGGTCTTCTGTGCTTCACGGTAAAGCAATTCTTTTCGCTTTCTTTCTAATTGAATCGTACTTTTTACTTTTAAGTGCTTTTATTTTTATGTCATTCTCTATCGAAAATGTCATGATGCCAGGCTGTTATTATTACTAACATTGAGAAAGATGTATTTGCACTCTAAGTTTCAATCAATGTTTAACCAATTATTTAAAGAAAGTTCAGGAATATAAAATTGCATGTCATACAAAGTAAACACTGCATGTTTCACTCAATCGTAATCCTGTTAACTTGCTAATGGTGATTGACAACTAGACTGGGTGCCATAGGAAACGACAACCACCGGTGCATTGTAAGCGGCTGACCAATCAATGGGGTTATTCATCACGTGACAAAAGCCTGGTCGGGTGCTCAACTGAGGACAGTTGAGTAGAAAGGCGATGATCATAGAATACGGTCCTTGTGGACTCAGTGGACGGCAATAACCGTGAGAGATTGCTGCTGTTACACCGAAGTACTCACCGGGACCACAAGCTTGACCACTGCGACGTTTAGGATCAAAACCGTCGGTGCAGATCGGTTTGATAGCTGTTGCAGCCGTGCCATGAAATGCAAAGAATCCTCGTGCCATATCAGGTGGTGCAGAAAAGCCTAGAGACTCAGCGCCTTTGTAGAATCGTTTCAGCGATGCACAGTGATCTACCAGTGCCATGTTATAATCAACGCGAATTATAGGTGGTAAGGTGGGCAACCAATTATCACGTGCAAATTTCTCAGCGGTTTTAAACAAATTAGTGAGAAAGTCACCCATTTTTTCGAACTGTTCACGCTCTTTGCACGTTCTTCCAATGTGCGCATCATTGTCAATCACGGAACAAGATGGACAGATATCTCGTCCACAAGAAAAACATGTTTGATAACCACGTGATTTTTTAATTAAAGCATAACACTCCGTGCTCGGACAAAAGGCTTGATCCAAAGTTTTGGCATTATTATTAAAATAAATTTGTATGGCCTTTTTACACACGGTTAGAAGTGCTTCTCGTTCAAGAAAGATTTCAAATAAGTCTTCTATAGCGATATTCGCTTTACACTTCGGTTCGTTACATTGTAAGGGATAAGTTGAACTTAAATGAGTTGATGCGCATCGACAATACGCATGACCACAGGCCCGTAATGTATTTGTTGAATATGATAACTTTCCACAAAACACGCATTTTTGCTGGTCTCGAGTGACATTACCATCGGCAGAAAGCTTTGTTAGTAACTGTTTCACTTCTGTTACGCACGAATCGATCAATGATTGACTGGCATCTGGATCTGCGTAGATAATAATCGATCTCGTTTTCGGTTTATAAGCCACAGAACAACCCCAATTTGACCAAGTATCGTTGAGAGCTTCAAGCTGAACATCCGCTAGTTTCCTACGTCCAAAAAAGTTAGCTACTGTTGACTTTAACTCAAGTACACGGAATCGTTCATCGAATTTATCGGAATAATCGCCTATTTGACGCATGAGCTCACCTTGTTGTACTTGTGGACCACGAATTTCAATCCATACGTGTGATCTTTCTCTTCGGCAAACTTCGAGTTTTAATTTAGTTGCCCACTCTTGAATAATATTCCGTGAGAAAAGTTCATCAAACAGTTGTTTCTGTCGATCGCTTGTCATCTTGATGATAATTGGCGATGTTGCTTGAGAAAGCATAGCTGCCGCTGCGGCTGTCTTTTGTGGACTACCGTTGCTAAAGAAACATCGAACAGCAGTATGGCCATTTCGTTGTCTTTTAACGACGGGTTGCTGTTGAACTTGAACCGCAAACTGTTTGGCGATTTGGGCGATAAGTGCATCGAAATCAGGATAAAGATGAGGATGAGTAACAGTCACCGTTGCTGAACTGTCAATTGTCCATGAACTCTCCAGTTTTGGAATGATTTCTTTGTATAATCGAAGTGCTGACTCACGATGCGTCGCTGTGACGAGAAATTTCTGGCCATTAGAATGTTTACTCGCTAAGTCACTGAGAGTTGGCGTGACACTTTTTTGTACGAGTTGACGGTTTGCTTGACTTCGGACAGTAATTGTTATTGGTTTTTGACAAAAGCCAGACTGCAGAGTCGCTTTCGCTTGTTGACACTGCTGCTGATCAGCAAAGAAAATATGAGCTGATGATGAGCCTATATTATCCTTATGTGTTTGTCGTAAACTGATCTTTAATGGATTGATCGGTTGTAAAATTTTTCGCACGAATGATTTGTCTGTGTCTCTCGGTAAATTAATCAATTGAATACCTGGCTGATCCCGTATGCTTCTTCGCTGGCCCAATCCATGACAATCGACAGCATGCGGAATCAATCGATTTAAGATGTCTTTGCCATTGGTAGAAGTGCTACTGGCAGGAATGGTTAATACTAACCGGCGACCCCATGAATCTTTTTCATCCATATGTGTTCCTGTAGTCGATAGCGATAAAGCTTGTTGAGAGCATATATGATGTGCTGGCAGATTGGCTATTGCTCTTTGAAAAGCTTCTGTTGACTTCAGTACAATGTAAAACGGTGGTGCTTCGTAGGCATCGTCATCGTCGTCGTCGTCGTCATCGTCACTGCTATTTTTGTGTTTGGTTTTACATTCTTGAAAGTTATTCTCTCGAATATCATGTCGAGTGATGTTCAGTTTGATTCTAAACCAGACTTGTAATTCGTCGAATGTTTCACATGGAACTCGTTGCAGACAAAGTCGAAGATCGTCCTCCATAATTTCTACAGCTGAGCAAATCAAACCATTTTGAAATGTCGCTCGAACAGAACCACACTCGATGTTTTTTATATTTGCTCTCGATAACATCGGCGCTAAAATCGATTCTAACCGAGCTTGATCGCCTTTCAAACCCCAAACGGCCAAACGAGATGATAATCGATCGTAGTCGTACACGAGCCATTTTGCCCATGATTCCGACAAGATATTGCTCAGCTCAGCTCGAATCTTATTGCCAGTCGATTCTCCGATATTTTCGCGTACGAGTATTTGCTGCATCGGTGAGACGGGAACATCGCGGGTCGGAATTTGATGCAGTCGATCGATAGTATATCTTCCAGATGATACCTGTGTGATAAGTGTAGCAACGAAATACTGCTGTGCACATTCATGTGCATGTTGAGTATAAATACTTCTATTGGCGATAGTCACACGTATATCGCTTTCAATGAGACGAGCACCTTCGTTAGGTAGATGTGGTACGAGTAAATGGCCGACGTGTGTAGGGAAAACTTTGGCCAGATGTTTACCAATGATATCGCCATCGGACCATTTTTTATGAAACGATCGACTTCCAGTTTTTAAATTCCAGCGTGGATCTGTGATTGTTCCTCTGTAGAATTCTGTTGAACTTTCGATATGCTCAAGAATTTGGTTATTGAGCCCATTCATGGATGAATGTTTAATACGACACGATTGGCAATAATCTACATCACTTGGGAATGTTTTACGGCATCGTTGGCATTTGTTGGTTTTTCGGTCAATTTCACCAGCAGATTTCCATTCGTCAAACATCGAGCAAAGACGAAACAGATCACTACTACATTTATTATTATCCAGTGTGGCGCTGTGCTGTAAATCAACATCGTGACGATCCACAGTTCCTTTCGATGAAAACAACGAACCGGGTGTAGACAGTATTGCAGCAATAGTAGTTATCAATGGTAGTAAGCGTTGACTTTCGGTCTGTTCGGTATAAATATTGGTCATGAACGCGCTTAGACGAGGATCAATCGACAGTTCGGAAAAAAGTTGGCCGCGTAGTGTTATGTCATTATGTTTATCAAGACAACATAACTGTGTTAAAACATCTGTCGAATGATGTATTGTGTTTGTAAGAGGTTTCGTTACAAATGGAAATGTATGTAGATCAATATTTAAACGTTTGAATTGAAGAAGAGGAAGCTCGAACGAAACACGAAGAATTTCAGGCTCGATGCACTCATCTTTCAGGTCTCTATCATCATATAAGCGGACACATCGCCCATATTTCGAATGGCTGACTAAATCTCGACGTTTACTGGCAGAACAGCGCGATATGCGCACTGTTTCCAAAACGTTCCAGTTATATTGTGCATCGAAACGCGATTGACGTATAAAACCAGTATCAATAACAAGTTGAATGTTCCTGACTGGTATTGATGTTTCAGCAATATTCGCACAAAAGAGAACCATTCGTTTGTCTGGCGATTTGCTGTCGAATTCTAAGATCTGCCTATGCTCTTCGTATGACAGTGATCCATAAAGTGGCAGTGCAATGCAATCTTTCGGTATATCATTGGAAAAAACTTGAATTGCTTTTTCAATATCTCGTTGACCGGGCAAAAATACAATTGTATGTTCTCGATGTTTGTGATAGAAATTTAACAGAGTGGGTATGACATGTACTTCGATAAGTTTGTGATTTGGACAGCCGTCGGGCGGCAATCGATTTTCAACAGGGACAGAATATGTTGGATTCTTTGGACGAACGACTAAAGCGGAAGAAACATCGAAATAGTCTACGAATAATTGTAGATTCGTTGTTGTCGAAGCGATAACAATGTAGAAGTCCGTTGGTCGATTCATTAATACAAGTTTAGCAATACCAATGATAATATCTATATTTAACGATCGTTCGTAAACTTCATCGACGATCAATACGCGTATGCGACTCAAATTCGGATCTTTCTGATATTCATATAGAAAAACTGTATCTGTCATGAACATTATATTCGTGCCGACTACACAATCGTTCTTTCGCTTATGATCGTATCCAATCTGATAGCCAACTGAGTTGCCTGCGGGTGCGCCATCATATTCATCGGCGACTCGATTTGCTAGAAGCATAGCTGACACTGGTCGCGGTTGAACAGAAACGATGAGATCATCCGGAAAGCATTCAGCTGCATACTGCGGCAATTGAGTACTCTTGCCAGTACCTATTTCACCTACAACGATCAGTATCCTCTCGTTCTGAAGGCGTTCACAAAATTCAGTTCTTGCTGCAAAAATTGCTGGTGATGCGTTCTGCCGATCATTCATTCGTGTCTCCTCAGATTTGCAATGTTGGTATGATTGTCTTCGCTGATCATTAGATCTTTCATTTGTTGTACTGCAAGATTTCTATTTCATCGAACGATATGAGTGATGTAGCATAGAAATAAATAGAACCCACCTGAGAAGAATCATCGTCGCGCGATCGAACAGGTGAAATTGATCGATCCTTTCGTGATCGTTTATCATCAGAATTCCTGTTCGGATGCAGAAAGGCACAGCTATTTGTTCGACATCCACTCCCATATCTACATTTATCCTTACGAGTGCGTGGATGATTTGCTGTACAATGAAAGCTTGTGCATTGTGCCCCATACTTACATACATTCCAGTTTGGAGAATGTCGATAAGGACAGTCAGCATTGAAACAATGATCACCGTGACGGCACGGTATGTCTTTGGAGCGCGATCGCTGTTGAGAAGCATATGGATCGTCGATTGATGGCTCTAATAATATAAATGACCTTGCCTATTCAATGGTTCGACTGTTGGTGTCTTTCCTACCAGCGTAACATGATGGTTTCTCATCATCATCAATAGAACGGTTCGAATTTGAAGTATTTGATCTGTTGTTACTGCATTCGTCTAGTATGCGCTCATTGTCTCGTTCGCTGTAAAGTTCGCACCTCAACTCAGCTTGTCCAAAACGAAATGCCTCATTCCATGCTGAGACAAATTCAAGAGCTTTAGTTTCACTTGAAAACTCACCGATTAATGCATACTGCTCAGATGAATCTGACTGAGGCTTGTGAATACTTATACGTCGCGGGTTAACGTCAAATTGTATTGACAATTCAGTACCACCTACATCGGTCGAAAGACCTAAAACCTTCACCGACCATTCATTCGCATTGTTTCGTAACGAACTCATATTTTGTCACTTCTGTGTGTGTCTGAAACACAAAAAAAAATAGCCTGGGGAGTATTCCAGCAAAATCAAAAAATTTCCAACATAACAAATAAGCTGTCAGGATTTTAGAGGAAAGAAGTTTACGCATCTTTACAATTCGTGAGAAAAAGAACCGCGGCTCAGTCTTGTTGTCACACGTGTCGCAATTTCTTTTTTTCTTTTTTTATTATTTCGCGTTCGGCGAAGAGACAGACAAACAATTGTGACGTTGCGGACGATGTTATGAGTCATTGTTTCAATTTAAAACGAATTCTTTGGTAAGTTCAAATGATTCTAAGATTTCATAAACATTCCTCATATTTTTCTGTATAAAGAAAAACCGAGAATTTTTCAAACAAAATAAAACCTAACTAGCACAAAAAAATTCATCGGTCTTTGAGAAAATGCTTTCAATTCGAAATGTTCGATCTAGTTCGCAACAATCATTACAAGACCGTCATTAATATTTTGGTAGATCTACTTGCACCGTCTGTCTATCTATACAGCTTTCTAATCATTGGGAAAAAAGTAGTTTTATTCGTCCAGTAATTGCCAATGTACTACGAGCATTTCGCACAAGATGACTTTTGTCTTTTTATACTCAAGTCTAAAGGTTCGACGAATGTTCCCGTTAAACGCCGAGTCCGTCGATTATTATAAAATATTCCCACACCCACTTGATCATCCGGTGCTTGACCTACGAAAATGCGTATTTATAAAGAAAACACTCCATCGTAGGTTATGTCATAGCTGAGATCAAGCAATATCGACAAATCAGCGATGAGAAAGATTTGCTCCGAGAAGCGTTATCTCACGCTCGACGATAATCATTGCGTACTCGAAGTACACAGGTAGAGCCCTTAAATAACACATCAAAGGTTCATTAAGTTCGATAGAATATTATATTTTTGAAATCATGTGTGAGATTGTAATCCATTTCTGTCTCTATGTCTATATGATATAAATAAAATGTCACCGATAGTTAGGAACTCAAGAAGCAAATACATGGATAAAGACGAGAGACAACATGATGAGAAAACAAGCATCGATATATATATAGCAACACAAATGCGCGTAGCGAGAGCACTGTCGGCATTTAGAATGACAAAATAAGGGAATGCTCATTATTGGATTATACAAGAAGAGAAAACTACTGTAAGTTGTTTTATCGATTGAAAGAAATATTCAGATCATCAGACGAGAATCACATAGACGAAATGCTATTTAACATGATGCACAATTATTTGTTGATTTTTGTAATCTTTCATTAGCGGAACTATCATTGGCATTTGGATTATATCGATTAGCAGCTTGTGATCGATTAAATTGAATGCCTGAATACATTCGATACGGATCAATACTACCTGAAGGAGAAAAGACAAACCATTTTCTTCATAAACGACAATTCGTGACATTACCTGATTCGATCTTGTTTAGAATCTTCTGTGCACAGTTCAGAAAACTTTCCGTGATATTTTCATTCGTTTTGGCAGATGTTTCCAGAAACATTAGATCTTGACAAAGAACGCGTTTTTGCTCAATTCAAACAAAACTATTCATCCTACCATTTCCTTCAGCAAATCGATTGGCTTCGTCGAAAGTCACCTGTCGTTGTTCATCTAAATCTTTCTTATTTCCACATAATATAATAACAATATTCGGACTGGCCAATGAACGAGCATCGGATAACCAATTAGCAACGGCGTTGTAACTTTCTCGACTGAAATTCGACTGTTAATGAAAAGATATCGACCGATTTCGTTTTTTTACTTTGCGATATCGTAGACTAACAAGGCACCCGATGCTCCACGGTAATAACTACGTGTTACCGATCGAAATCGTTCTTGGCCAGCTGTCTAAAACGAACGGAATAATTAGAAGAAAAATTTGACTATGTTCTCATGGTCATACATCCCAAATTTGCAATTTGACATTTTTCTGATTTACATTAATCACTTTCGAACCGAACTCAGCGCCGATAGTATGTGTAATATCTTCTTTAACTAAAATAGAAAGCAATTCACTGACTTGGCCGGTAGAAAAACAGTCTCTTTACATTTATTTTCGAGGAATTGATGCAAAATACAAGATTTTCCGGTTGATGCACTGCCAATGATCAGAAATTTGAATAAATACTCTGAACAAAACAAGATTATGACTAGTATTCCCTTCCGAATAAGTTTCATCAATTACCATAGGCTTCTGTTGACTCAGACATAACTCCCTGTTTGTGACGTAAAGTCGGAATAAGAATGACGTAGGAAAATAATAATAAATACCTTCGCTCGCTCGTTGACTATCATTCGTTCTCATCGGTTAAAAAAAGAAGCAAATAAAAAAAAGAACGACTCGAGGCAACTAGCGACAATGAGTTGTTCGCTTGAAATACAATGAGGATTGTCAAGGAGAACTGAATAAAGAACTTTCTCATGAATGGAATCAGACATTCTTGTGGTTTTGTAGTATAGTCTAATACAATTGAAAAAAAAACGAACATTTGACATCTCAAATGGCGACGATAACCGCACTAAAATGCTCAGTTTGCTCGGCATCAATGCTGAATCCTCAAGCATGGCAAGCGACAAAAACCAATACCAATCGATCGTCAAGTCCCAAACGAACTACGAAAAAGCAAACTTTAAAGTAAATTTAGAAGAATCTCGCAACATAACATTACTTATCGCTTTTCTTTGTTAGTCGATCGAACAGTGCGCAGAATAAACTATCGAAACCGCCCGTCCAGGGTCTTGAAGATGAATACATCAAACAATTACAAGAACAAATTTACTATCTCGAAACCGAATGTCACTATCTATATCCTTTTTCGCTGTGTATTTAAGCGTAGGTATTGTTTCTTTCTTTTTCATTTTCCTTAACTATAAATATACGCGTGACCAATTGAACAAAACATCAACATTGGCCCATCGTTCTCACCAAGCCGAACAGGATCGTTCCGATTTACAACGAAGTCTGGTTCAAACATCGTCTCAATACGAACAAGTCGCCAGCGAAAACCATGGCCTAACAATCGCATTAGATGAACTTCGTCGTAAGTTTGCATTTCTCGGATATTTCTTTAGAAAAACCGGGTGACTTGTGCGTAGGAAAGTTTGATATTGAAAAGCAACAACTTCTCGATGAACTGGATAGTTTACGACGCGCTCGAGATGCTCTCGAGCAAGAACGTCGTGTGCATGATCAGGAATTACGACAACTTCGTGACCGAACACGGGTTACGTCAGATGAATTGAAAAATACTCAGGATAAAATTCGTGTTTTGGAACAACAGGTTGATATTTCTTTCTTTGACAAATCAAATGTTCAATTTGCCTTTCAGTTCGAACAACAATTGAATCAAAATAAACTTTTGAATGATGATCTTCGACATTCAAAGTTAGAAACAAGTAATTTACAACGAACTTTGAACGATCATCAAATTATCAGTCGAGATCGAGATCGATTACAAGGCATCGTGGCGGAATTGGAAGTTCGTTTGTCTCTGTCGTTGACTTAGTTTAGTCACCACTCACTTTGTTTTCAGAAAGAAATACGAATCCTTCGGCAAGAAGCGAAAACGCAAGAAGCTCGATATAACGATGCTCAACTTCTTCGTGACAAAGTAAATTTCTTCCCTTCTAAGAAAATATCTTTGTATTCCATTTGTTTGTTCCAGTTAAGTGACGAAAGAAGTGGCCTATTGAAAGAAGTGACACGATTACAAGCATTATCCAAAGAATACGAAAGAGAACTCGACGAACTGCGTCGTGCTCTACGTGAACGAACTGATGTATTGCAAGTGAAAGAAGCAGAATTAGCTGCTCTACGAAAAAAAGAACACACTTTTCGAAGTACAGTTGATAATTTGCAAGTTAAGTTAGATACAGAATTGCTCAAAAATCAAGATCTTGATGGACAAGTAAGATGAAATTTCCGAGCGACAGAAGACTTTCTCATGGGAAATTTTTGCGTAGCTTAAACAATTACAAAGGCAATTGAACATTGAAATTCAAACTGCATTAACCGCAAAACGAGAGTCGAATGAATACGAAATTCGTAATACTCGTTTACAAGACGAAATCAACGCTCTTCTACGTGATAAAGACCAATTAACAAGTCGTATTGCTAAACTAGAACAACAAGTAATAGATCATCGGTGTATCTTTGATTGAGTTTGTTATTTGTTTCTTTAGTTACTAAATGAGGAGCGTTTGACGAACAAATTACAAATTGAGATGCAAGAACTTGAAGACCGTGTGAAAGAAATCGATCGTCTGAAATCCTTGGAAGATTTAATTCAATCTCAGCGTTGGGAAGATATGTCTCAAATGGCTCAAACTATGCAAACAGTTAGCCGAACAATGGCTCGGGCAACCAGTCCAACAGTTCTACGCAAGAAACGAGTTGAATAACAGTGAAACGTTTTCTCAGAGATCACTTCTCGCTCTAATTTTCAGTGTGTCGAAATTTTAGCTTCAGTGTAGTTTTGCTTTTCAAGTCATTGAATACATAAATCTAGTGGAAACCTTGAATGCACAGCCACTCTTGATCAATTCATTTCTGATTCTATTCCAGTGCGTGTTCGTACTGAACAACATATACTGAATGATCATCTGTGTCTTTCTTTCATCTGCATTTAGTATAACAAATAATCATGAATAAACCATTTGGTGTCGACATGTGTATCGAATAGCAATTGTGTGTGTGTCTTATCCATCTCTGAATAGAACAACAAGGAAAAAGATTGTTGCGTGTCACTAGTCGTCTTCATCGCCTGTTATTCTTTAGTCTAACTCTTTTCTTTCGTCCCCTTATTCCATACTCAGGAGAACATTCATCAGCAATCGAACTGTCATGGTAATCCGCGTTCATTTTACTCTCTCAAGAGATTCAACTCTTACATGACATGCGCACCAATATTACATCCCATACTCAGTCCAATCAGTCAGCTGAATAGAGATGAAGATTCGAATGTGTATGAGACGTCTCTTCATCAAATCATCATGAGGGTGGTGATAAAGTAAGAGAAGAAAAGGCGGAGTATTTCTTTACTTAAGCTAAATTGAAATAAGTGTCTAGAATTGTTACAACTAACGAGTTGTTTATTGGTGAACAATCGAACACAAAGAGATTTTGATGATGAAAGAACGAGAGAGCGGTTGACATTCTTCTATGTATTCTGTTGACGGAAACGATCAATTTCCTTTTCTATCACCTTCATCTCATGCACTTCATTTCTCTAACAAATAACTACAAAGTAACCACATAAATTTCCATCGGAAGCATGTGTCAAATATGATTTGCTCATTCTCGCACAAAGAATTCGTCGACAGATTCCTTGTCGAAGGCAATGGATATTCTCAGTCAAATTGGATAATATCTTTCTCATTTCCTTTTTTTCTCATGAGTGAAAACATTTCTAATCTCAGCTCGTGTTCAAATTCGATTTCCTACCGCGTCACGACTCGCATTGCTCTTTTACACAGTTAGAAAGTCAATTGAAAACAACAGTTCACTTTTCAATGACAAAAATGTTATGACATTGAGTCTCACTCACAGCAGTCGACATCAATTGNAATTAATCAATTTCATCAAAAGATGTGACAGTTGTTTGAAACGAGACTGTCAGATCTCGTAGAAACAAACTATTTACAATTACAGATACGTTGATCGATCTTATCCTTGATTGCACGCTATATCATCAACAATCTGATTCGATGTATCGATCGGTTGACTAAACATATGTATAGCTTTTCGTTCGATTTGCTAACCAATCAGCGGCTAAATAGTTGAAATCGACGTAAGAAGAAAGAGAAAACAAGAAATAATCTCATATCATTGCTAAGTACTCGGAAGATAGATCATCTGGTTGTCGACATGTTTATTCGTGCGAATCGGATAATTACAAAAGAGAAAGAGAAACAAGCCGCATATTGGAAGATCTAATACAAACATCTGTTTATGTATGTCTATCAACTGGCAACCGAGAGCAATGATAACATAAGTTTCTTTCTTGGCGCATCATAATTGATATTTTATTATTTTTGTTCAAAAGACAGAAAAGAAAAGATAGAGAATGAGAGAAAAAGCTACGTAATATGAATAGTAAACAACAACAATAAGAAGAAGAAGAACAACAACAACAGCAACAACAACAGCAAAACGCAAATCACTGAACGAAAATGAGAGAAAGAGAGAAGAGAAAAATAATTAAATACAAAGTTCTCCGCTACCGAGAGAGCACCGGGAGATGAAGTTGTTGGTTTTCTTTTTTTGAAAATTTTCGTTTGTTCATGTTGTTGAAGAGTCAGGCGAGGATGGCGGAGAATAACTGCCAGCGCCTAGACCGTATTGTTGTCGATTTTTGGCTTGTGCTGCTCGATCGCGTTGTCGACGATTCTTAAACCAATTCCCAACTTGAGTCGGCGTTAGGCCTGTTGCTTGGGCAAGTTCACGTTTTTTGGCAGGATTCGGATACGGATCTTGTAAATACCATTCTCTTAATAATGAACGTGTTCGTTCTTTGAAACAATGCGTTTTCTGTTCGCCATCCCAAATAGTTCGTGGCAAAGGATATTTCTTTCGTACACGATATTTATCAACCTAAACGATTGCAATAATTTATGAGATGAAATTTCAATAAAACAAATCTTACCGGTCCAAGCGGCCTTCCACGTAACTTTTCTGCTTCTTGATAATGTGCTTCCATCCACATCGCTTGTAATTTAGCATGTGAATCACGTGTGTACTTATGATTTTCTAATAAATGATACAGTTCGCGATAATTACCCAAATGAAATGCTACTAATGCTCGTGCACGCAGGATACTTTCATGTTGGACTAACAAGTTTGCCGAGCCAGGTGCTACTTGTAATGACCAGAGAAATCTTCCTAGTCGATCAATATCACCACTTTCTTCCAATGATTCACATACACGAGCAATTTGTTCAGTAGAAAAATTGACTGCGGGTAAGATTGGCGGCGGTGGAGGAATAGGGAATAGACCCATACTATACATTGGTAGTAGTGAACTGAGAGAATTAGTAGAAAAGAGAGCAGCAGCAGCGGCTGCTTGCTGTTGTAGGAATGATGGAGATACATGAGAATTATTGTTTGTTATTGGAGTCGTCGATGACGAAGGTGTTGGTGAACGCGAACGTCGAGATATAGGTGAACGAGAGCGAGAACGAGAACGAGATCTCGTCGAACCGGCTGATGAAGATTTCGATGTTGTAGAGGAAGATCGACTGATTGCTGTTTTCGTCTTGTGTTGTTTGGGTAATGATGATGATGAAGATGATGTTGGAGCAACATCCGCATTCGCCAGCAGCGGATGCGGAGTTGGTAGGAAATTCTTGAAGGATAACGTTTTGGTGATTTTTATTTAGAAATAAGTGAAGGAAGAAGAACTATAAGTAAAAGAAAAATGCGTGTTTTTATTAAAATGAAATGCGATAAATGACGATGGGAAAAAAAAACATTTTTAATCTATTGAAACAAACCTGTCTAATTTATTTGATGTTTTTCTTGTCTAAGAAATTAATTAAACATTGCAATATGTAGATACGATTATCAACTATTAGTATCACTTGTCGTATGTATGTCGCTGGGTCTGTCTATGATGGCCTTTCTCTCTGCTTTTCAATGCAATGTACCGTTAAATGTTGAGCGAGGTAGTGAATATAGCTTTTTTTCTCGCCTCTCCTTCTCTCTTCTTCTGCTTCTCTTTTTTTTCGAACTCGCACGCAGGTTGGATGTATATCATTTTCTTCAATAGTGTATAGAGTGTCTCTATGTCTTAATGTTATTCTTTCTCGCTTCTCTTTTTCTCTCGATTTTTTTCTCCTTCTCATTCGTCGTCGAATTGAGTTTCAGTATCATTTCTTTTCATCACACTGTTTTCTTTTCTCTTCTCTCTATTTGCCTTCGCTTTATAATATAAACTGTAAGACAGTCATCGCCTAATCAACGCATAGACGAAACGAGACGATTCTCTCTCGCTCGCCTTTTTTCCTGCCTTGCTTACTATTGGTGCTCGATTACCAATTTCTTTCTTTTTTTCTTTTTCTCCTCTTACTCGAACTCGACTATTACAAAGTAACAACATGCGAGATCAGAACAGAAAAGGTTAATTAAGGTACGAATCAATACTTCTCTCCAAAACGTTCTCGTCAAAAGGAATGAATAATTAGAATGGTCACGATTGGTGGTATAACGAAATGAATACGATAACCAATAAGAAATAAGGACACATCTAAAAGCGAGAAGAAAAAGGAAAAAATGAGAACGAACAGAAATAGATCTCGTTTCGCCTTCTGTGATAATCTATATATGTAAAATAACGAGCAGAAAATGATCATGACAAATAAATATATGTACATAAAATGTCTCTCGATCATTATATTTTCAATGTACGTATTGAGTACATCATGCTGATTTGCAAAGAGCTCTCTTTCCAATTAGTCATATTAAATGGTCAACGCAGCGAGTTGTCTTCGCACCTCACTACTCGATTAGTGTAGGTTATTCGTTCGACTTTGACACTTGTCAGTATACAATTTACACAAATTACAATCTCGCTCGTGTCATCATCTTCTTATTTGACTTAAATCTTGTTCTCATAGTTGACAAGCTGCGCATGCTCTGGTTGATTGAAATATCGCTGGTCTTTAACAAATTGTCTGCGTTGTTAATCTTTGATGAGAATATGTCGCGGTACTTTTGCCACTCTTTGTTTAAATAAAGACGAGAGAAAGAAAAGAGAGAGAAAAAAAAATCAAGTGTTGTGTTTGTTTCGTCAACATTATGTGAGTAAATTATGAATTAAGACAATTACTCGTTGTCGATACAAAAGACAAGCGGACAATGTCATCTGTCGTTCAAACATACATCTTTCTTCTTTCACTTCGAAACATTCTCAGCATTGAAAAAGTAAGCAACAGGCAACAAAAAGGGCTTCTTTCATCGAAACAATCACTTCAAGAAAAACTATCAAATAGCTTACGCTCCACTTTTTTGTTTCTTCAAAAATTTCCTTTAACAAACAACTATACACAAGAAAATTTCGGTTTTTTTTTCTTTGCTTCTTCAAGTCAAGTGTGTCTTTTGCCCAAATATATTCATTCATACAAATCATCCGAGTTCATATAAACGTTAATTACACACATACTGACATCTGATTATGTCGTGCATGTATGTTATCTTATGGACAATCACCTCTCTCCTTTCGTCTCATAGGCTATAATTTACTATATTCATCTATATTGATTGGCCACGTATATATGTGCCGAACAATTGAAGTTTGATTCGTGTAACAAATTGCCCATACTTCTCTTCTTTGCTTTCTTTTTAATCGATTGCTCGATATGCATGTCACCTCGAAGAAACATTTTCTAAGGACGCATGACATCGAATCTATGAACTAGTTATAAATAAAATAATATCCGATTAAAGAAGCTTATCAAATCAGTCGTTTAGTTGTCATGTTCTCTCCCTGTCTCTTGCCTTCGTTTCTTTTTTTTTTCAAACGAAGAAATTTGAAACGTTGATAAGGAAAAAGAAAGAGAGATTATTTGAAAATAAAAAAGAATGGGAGGGAGTAATGTTGATTTTAAACGATATTCTAAACACGCAGAATTGAAGACAATCACTTCAGTTTAGTCGAAAGCAAAGCTGTTTGAAATAATAACAAGTGTGAGACGTGAAAACGCACAGCATGAGAGAGACAAAATATAATCATTGTGAAAGCGTCACTGTCTTGATTTTCAAGAGAATTATCCACATTGATCAATTAGCAGTGCTCAACTGAGTGTTAGGAGTGTAAATTCGAGAGAAACACAGTGCAACGGAAATGTAATAGCAGATTCCGATTTCTTTAGAAATGATTTATCGATCAGGTGAAGGAAAAATCGGTCAGAAGTTCTCCGTAAACTCCGATTCAGGAAATGGTGATTACGCACGATTATTTTTAACATCGACAGCTCCATTTATAATTCGAACAGTTGCTGCTTGTCAATTACTCTTATTATAAGAGACATTTTGTTAATTGTTCTATGATGTGACAGAACATGTCTATCAAATATTCTTCTGTTTTCTGTCGAACATCATCTGAAACGATCAATGAGCAAATAATATCATGAAAACTTGAGATTTGGTTAACAGAGGTCTTTTCAAAATGCTGAAATAACTGATTGATTGATGACAAGGTTGTTCTGTGAATGATGAATAAATTAGAGTTGACAAAGATCCGGCTCCGGACTAGATGAAAACTAGGTTTTGCAACAAAAATAACTTCCATTCGCTTTTTGTTTCCATTTTGACAGATATTTCGTATGGCATGGAAGACATTTTTCTTGTGGATGCATATCTTGTCAGTTTGAATGCTCACGTACTATTGACAGCGACAATCTGTGTTGGTAAACGAGGTGTTCTATTCTACGCATGTGTGAGTTTGACTGGACTAGACGCGAAAAACTCGTTCGGTCTCATTTTTGAGTGAGCAAGTTCTCGTTTTGAAATTCGAATGTTTCATCTATTATGTTTACCAGAACTTTTGATTTCATATTCATGTCAAACTATTGTAGTTAACAAACAACTAATCTAATGAAAGATTTTTTCAATAAACTTTCCTTTCCATCATCATCATCCTATAGAGAATACGCTGAATATTATCTATTTGGGTTAGTAATATATTTATATAATTCTCTAAATAATAAACAAGTGCAGATAGTTGCTTATCTATTGTAAACTTTGAAATGAATTTGCAAAGTGTATTTGATAAACTCGTGTTTTATCGCCAGTACACAAATGAGTGTCGCCACGTGACACACATAATCGTATGTTTGAGTAGAATGTAATAAAAATAATCATATACTGAGAAAATTCGTTTCATCATTCTGATGAGGACACAAAAAGATTTTTGTTAGATGTTTCTTTTTTAAATATTTTTCTCTCTTGTACTGTAATTTGTATACTAAACTTACCATGATACTCAATCTGAGTTGTCTCGTTCGATTTTGGTTTCACAAAGACCGACAGCTGTTTCATCTTCTAATTGATTCATTCCCAAAGCCATTGACTAAACAATGCGTATCAAGAACATTTTTTTTTCTGTCTGTAAATCAAACGGATGCTTGCACATCGACCCATTATTCGTCATAGTAACGTTCTTAATTACTCCATGCATAAAGCTAAGAATGTCATTCTTTTCATTCTGCGTTCTTTTATTTACTGATAACCTATTGCAACAACATAAAAACGTTCAGATTTCAACATCGACTGATTAATATGTTAATTTTTATACACACAACCACAACAATATTTCATTGGTACACATGACAAAAAACGCGTTTACAGAATGTTGAGAATTTTCGAATGACCGCGAGAATAACAAACATTGAGAGAGAAGAAAACAACTAGGATTTAAAAATTCAACAAGAAGAAAATGTCTTTGTAGTCTAACGATTGAGTTTTCGATGAAAACGAAACAAACTTTTGTGTTTTACTTATAAATTTTGTTTATGAGCTTCAGCTTTCACTTCACTTGTCTTTTCTTGAACTTTATCTTTAACAGCATCAACCGCGGCACCAGCACGTGTGCCAATCGATTGATTCGAGTCTTTGGCGACTTCCTTATTCGCGTCACTACTGACAGCATGTGTTGCTTCGCTGACTTTTTCGGCAACATAATTGTAACTAAAAGTTATTGAGATCAATATGGCAACAAAGTACTTGTATACTTACGCTTCACTAGCTTTTTCTTTGACTGTTTCAACAAGACCTTTTCCGTCTTCGCCACCAGCTACGTAGTTATATCTGTGAGGAAAGAAGAGAATTTTGAAATCGAGAAAGAAAAGAAGAGCTTACGCTTCAGCAGCTTTCTCTTTGACGGTTTCAACAATGCCTTTAGCTTCTTGCTCAGCGCTTTCCTTATTAGCTTCTTTGGACAGTTCATGTTTCTTTTCATCAACTTTGTCTTTTACAGCATCAATACCTATTGAAATTGAAAATCTTTCATTCATAATAGAAGCAACAAAATGAAAACTCACCGTGACTAACGCGATCTCCAAGTGATCGGTCTGAATCTTTGGCAGCTGCTTTGTTAGCTTCATGACTGGCTCCAGAAGTGACTTCTGCAAATCATCGATGAACTCAATCGAAATCTATCTATGAAAATCTCGTTTAATTACCGTGGGCTTTATCTTTAGCAGCATCGACAGCTTTGTTAATTGCATCAGCCATATCGAATGTTTTGTTTTTTATTTATTCAAAAATAAGTAAAAGAGTAAAATGGTATACGTGTGTGCGTAACGCGTGAGGAGAACAGAATGAGAACAAAACGGTTGATATAGACTCAAGTCAGACTCTTGTTTGAATTAGCTGAGAAAGAAATAGAAGACTTCTTCTAAAAAATGGAGGGAGGCTTACTAGTGACATCAATGGCTTGAATGAACACCTCGATACCTGCTTGAGCACAGATTGCAACTCACGTTCAGACACGTGTAAGTGCAAATTACTCGAAAGGACGAGAAGAAAAGAAAACGATACTACTCCTGTTGTCGTCATCAGTCATTGTCGAACAGAACAATCTGATTTGATTTGACAATTATTGAATGACATACACACGTATTTATTGATTTATTTATTCATTCAATGTTGATTTTCATCTAGACATTTTATGCTAATAAAGATACAAGAACAGTAAGAAACACAGGAGAGATATAACAAAAGAAAACTACAAGCGATAGACAATGATTTGCTATCAGTTTGAGATCTGTCCAATATATACATGAACATTTGTCTTGGATTGTCTTCCCGAAAGATATATAGAAAGAAAATAATATGATCTGACGTGTTCGAAAGAGAAGATATCTGAGAAGGAAAGGAAATCACACATACACATTGATAGTCGTTAAGATTGGAAAGTTGCCTTTCAAAAGAAATGTGCTTGTGTTTGGTCGAGATAAGTAGCATCGGTAAACGTTTCTGATAATGGTTTGCTTGATTTAAGTTCTTTGAGCCAAGTTTGAAGTTCGTCTTTGATGATGGGATAATGTCCTAATGTACGACGGGTTAATTTCAACGTTCGACGTGATAAATACCAATGACCTTGTGTTTTCCAAAATGTTTGAAACAAACGTTCTGCAAGAAAAGAAATCGAAGGTTTGTATGAGAAGTCGAAAAGAGAAATAAACAAACCTTTTGCCCAACCAGGTATGCGACTTTCATCTTCATCTTCATTGTCGGAATCTTGATCCGAACGAACATCTTCGATACCATAATCTCCATCTGTTGAATTATGAGTTGTATCACTAGAAAAACGAGAGAATTGACTTTCTAATAGATACTATTCGATCATAACATACGTCATTGTCGAATCAAGTTCCAGTTCATCATGAGGATGTCCTGGAGTTGGCAAGATTGTCCAGTCTGCTTTATGTTGTGCACTTGGTTGTAGTAAAGAACTTGATGGTAATGTTATATCATTTCGTTGTGTATTGTTTTTATCAACGACAAATGTATATTCAGCATTTGCTAATGTTGTTGGCTTTTTCAAACCGGCATTCATCGGTTGTTTGAACACTTTATTTTGATTGAGAATTTTATTACTTGTTGTATCGAGTACAACAGGTTTGTATTGCTGGCCAGTTTGTTGTTGATAAGTTGCTTTCGGAAGGTTTGTTGAATCATTCATTGAGTTATTGAACGTTGTTGACGTGTTAAAATTGGCGCCAGGAACTTTCTTATTTCCTGAAGCCGCTGTTTTCGCTTGGTTGTCCGATACGCGTAGTTGATTCTTTTGGTCTTTATCTTGTTGGATCTGTTTAGCACGACTGAGAACTTCTTCACGTTTCTTGGCTTGTTCGTGTACTGAATAGCAAAAAGGAAATGAAGTTCGTAGGAAACTGTTCTTCGGATTGGAAACGTTTTAGTCTTACGTTTTTCGACTTTGCGTTTACGTTCTTCTTGTTTACGTTCTTCGACTGCTCGGGCTAATTGTTCTCGTTGTTCTTGACTGAGACGAGAGGTGTTACCAGTTACCGATGGTTTATTACGAAATAATGTACGAGAGTCAGGACGCTGTTGACGATCATTTGATGGACGAGCGAACTAAAGAATTCCAAGAAGATATTTTCGTTGTTTGCAATCGGAATTGAGCATACTTTGCGAATTGCACTTGTTTTACCAGCACCAAATCCAGATATACGTTTGCCAGCAGACCATTTCGATGATAGCTTTTGCTAAATACGAGACAAGTTATCGTGTTGTGAAACAATGAAGTGAAAAGTATAGTTACAGGTAGTTTTTGACCAGTTGTTGATGTTCGGTTGGATGAAGTATTTAGTTGTAGCGATGTATCGTCACTCGTTTCGATCACTTTTGCTTGTTGTTTCTTCTTCTTCGCCTTTTTCTTTATTTTCGGCGCTTCATTTTCTTCGTCACCATTGGCATCGACATAGTTTTGATCATCGTTATCATCGAGAAGAATCGTATTTGCATTGTTGTTCGTCGTTTGATCTATATTGGGTTCATTTCGAGGTTGTAATACTCGACTCGGTGATGCAGGTTGTACAACAAAACGTGTTGTCGAAGCTGGTGGATCCGGTTGCCATTGGATAGGTTCGTATTCCATTGGTTGATCATCGCGAAAGGGAAGATAAAGCGGTTGATCAATCAATGTAGGACGATCGGATGATGAAGAACCCAAACAAGCATCTAAGATTGTTGAAAATGATCTGTAAAAAAATGGAATTTCGATGTCGTGGAAGAAAGATATTATTAATGTTGGTTCTTACATGATTTCATTGTTGTTCTCAAGCCATTCACGTTCGATATCTTTTTGTTTTTGCGTGATATCTGCTGATCTACAAAGGCAAATTCGTCAAATACTTCCAGTTTCTAGAGAGAACATTTACATACTCATTTTGGAATAATAATTTTAAAGCATCGACATTTCCCGCTGGATCATCGTTGTACTCTTGGATCGATTTTGCAATTAATGCTGATGCGGCCGCGAAAGCACGTATATCATTGAATTCTAATTTATCGAAGGTATCGAGGGTATCAATGACAGACATCTACATTGGCAAAAGAAAAGAAGAAAAAAATTTTATCTTTGCATTTCAAATGCAACACAAAAGAACAAAAATCTAAACAAAATTTCAACCACTTTCGTATATTTCTCTTTGTTTTTCACACGCACACACGCAGGAATACAGATAGCAAAAAGATGAGGAGTAAATAGGTAAATACACAGACATAGTCTTCTTTGTCTTGTAACAAATACGCATAGAAAGTAGAGGTTGTAGAAATACAAACAATGACAGATTTCAACAGACTCAATTTAAAATTGAGATTTTATATGTATGTGAATTAGATAGAAAATGACCACTTGTTCTTATGTTTTGTTGTTCAGATATGTATGTACATTGGATAGAAATTCCGGAAAGTTATTTATCATTACTACCAGGCGGTGCTAGAGCACCGTTGGTTGAACCAGTTGCGGCAGCTGCAGCAGCTGCTGCGGCTGCTTGTTGTTGTGCAGCAGCTAATTGAGCATAGTAAGCTTGATAGTACAAAGCAGTCGCATCGGGCAGTTGATTCGATTGTGATTGCTGAGACTCAGGTTGTTGAACTGCTAATTGTGGATGCTGTTGTTGTTGCTGTTGTGCAGCTTGAGTCTAAAGTAGAAGAGAATATACGTTCCAGAGAAAAAAAGACTTTCTGAAGAAATTAACCATTTGTGCTGTTTTTAACCATTGAGACCATTGCTGAGTTATAGAATTTGGGTCTTGTTGTGCTTGGATTTGTTGTTGCTGAGGTTGCTGTTGCGGATGTTGTTGTTGTTGCTGTTGTTGTTGAGCTCCTTGTGGATTAAGCGCAGCTGCATACAGTGCAAACCATGAGTCCAGTGTATTAGGTTGTTGAACACCGGTTTGATTAAGACCTAGGGGATTCTGAGCTTGCAGAGTCAAAGTAGCAGCTTGATTATTCAGGGCCGCTTGTTGAGAAGGAAATTGCTGTTGCTGCTGTTGTTGTTGTTGTTGTTGCTGATGTGATGGCGGATTTTGCAGCAATGGTTGCGGACGTTGTTGCTGTTGCTGATTTTGAAATGGATTTTGCTGCTGCTGTTGTTGTTGTTGTTGTTGCATCGATGACTAGAACAAAGAAGAAAAGTACATAGTAATACTTTTGATGACCTTCAAGTGTATATATTCGAACTCACTCGGCTTCCAAATCCTTGTCGATCTTGGTTAAAGCTATTATTGTTATTTTGCATATAGCCACCACCTCCTTGCCGTTGAGAATTATTATCATAATCATTAAACTGCCGGCCGCGTTGTTGATTATTGAAATCTGAACGATATCCACCACTATTGCCTCGTTGATTGTCGTGATATGATCCTCGATTATTAAATTGATTGCCACCGCGAAAATCTCCTCGACCGCGATGACCGCCACGACCACTACCACCGTCGTAATCATTTCTCTGTTGTCCATGGAATCCGCCACGCCATCCATCATTCGATTGATTATTATTATAATTATTGCCACCTCTTCCATGATAACCTCCTTCTTGAAAGCCACCGCGTTGGTTGTAATTATTATTTCTCGAATCTTGTCGATAGTCTGAATAGCCGCCACCGCCGCGTGAGTAGCCACCTCCGCGCTGATAATTATTATTATGGCCACCACCGCCATAGTTATCATTGCGACGAGATGATGAATAACGTGAGTCTTCACGAGATGTTCGACGATCTCGATCCCGGTCGCGATCTCTATCTCGACTTCCACGTTCTCGTGAACGCGATCGATTATGTCGATCTCGATCTCGACTGCCACGATCTCTATCATCATAACGATTTCGATCATTTCGTGACGAACGATAATCATCATATCGATCATAACGCGACGACGATGAACGATGTTGTTCATAATCCCGACGAGCCTTATCATATAAAGCTTTTGCATCGTCGTAAGATAATTCTGGATATATAACATCTTCTAAAGATGAGCTTTTTTGCGGAAAGTGAAACTTCGCTAAAGAATAAACATAGATATTCAGAGAATGAAAAGAAACGTGTCTGTTTTACCTTTCGCTTCTCGGATCCAATGAGAAGGTATAGATATATTCTCTAACCGTTCCATTTTTTCAATACGCGATCGCAGTTCATCGTCATCGGGCACGATGACTACACCTATCCGATTGTATCCAGTGAATAATCGCTGTCGTTTTGACTGGATATCTCGACTCACATTTACCTAAAGTCAATTTATTCGACAATGAATAACAATAACTCGATCTTACATGATCAATAATGTAATTTCGTCGACGTTGTGCCGCGATTTCAATCAATTTTTGTAAACAGACATTGACACGCAACATCAACCCATCGTTACGATCTTTGACCGTTGGTAGTTTTCCATCCACCTTAAGAATGGTAAAACACATTTTTCATGTATAATTCTGATTTTGTGCTCGAAGACTTACCGTCATTTTACTAAGAACATATTCTACATTGATTAAATTAAAATTTTTAGTTGCATTTTCTTCCATGTATTTTTTTGCCCATGTCGTTTTGCCTGATCCACTTAAACCCGACAGTAGAACAACTTGACAATCAGTTTTTTCTACAATTGGTTCTGCCGATCGGATTCGTTCGTTCAATGGAACTTTTTGTGCAAAGATATAATCAGTCTTGACTTCTGACCATGGAATTTCCTAAATGAACGAAAATTCAAATACTGTAATTAATGCTCCACTTGTATTCACTTACTGACTGCCCGAAATTACATTCAAATTTAACATTTTTGACTAAAATATGAGGATAAAATACGAGCCGATCTGCGTCGTTATTATTATCACTAGACCAACTCGCTTTGTCTAATTCAAATGCTTGACCATAATCTTGTCCATTCTTAGTAAATGATATACGAATTTTATTCTCCTCCTCATTTCCATCCAAATCAATGTAACAACCAATAACATCCGACAGACCAAATGATTCCCCATATGAATCTTCAGATATTTCGTCATTGAATTTACTCATCTTCTTTCCAACATCAGTATACGCAAACGAATCATTGAATTCACCTAAATTCAATTTCCATCCAATCGTTTCGAAATGTTTTTTTTCTCTCTCGTGTCTTACCTAATTGAAGTGCATGCAGACCGGAAGATAAATTTGACCAGCCGACACGAATACCGAACTTTTCCTTTTCATTACCAGGCATATCGGGACAATCGATAATCTCAGTAACCTAATTGAAACGAATCATTCAAATGAAAACGATAATATGAGAGAACACGAATCGTACTCGAATTTCATAGCAAATCTTTCCTTGTTTGAATCCGTAAGTAGCACGTGTACCCGCCCATAGAAAACATAGTGCATCATTGGATTTAGTCGACGCTGATAAACAATCGGTTGCAAATGTCAAAGTTAAGTCAGATGTATCTAGAAATAGATCGATCGAAATCAACGTGAAATAAAAACACAGTTTTCTCCTTACAAAAGTCTAAGACCACATCGCCTGGATTGAACTGTACTATTTCTTCTTCTGGAAGTGGAATTTCTTTTTCCGGTGATCTATAACAATCAGAAGAATATGACTGAGAAATTTTCTTATCGGTTTACATACCTTTCAGAACGTCGACTACTGTAATGTCGATCATCATCGTGTCTTGATGAGCGATGGTAATCACGATCTCGGTGTCTGCTACTACTTGTTGTGCTGCTATTATCAACATTATCGTCATCGTCCGATGCTCGCTTTGTTGAAGCTGTCTGTTTTTCTGGAGATTCGTCTTCATCTTGTTCTGAACCCCAACGACTTTTCTTCTTTCGTCGTTGTTTTGATAATTCATCATTATCATTATCTTCTTCTTGCATTTTTTCGACTTTCGAATCTTCACCTTCGCCGTTTTCTCTCTCTTCCTCTTCTTCTTCTTCTTCGGTTAGACGACGTTTTTTACTACTTGTTGAATCCATTTCTTCCGTTGGTGGATTATTTTCTGACTCGACAACATCAGGAATCGATTGTGGCAACGGTTGTTCTTGTCCATCATCTTCGTCGTCATCTTCAATAGCCTAGATTAATGACAAATTCGATATGACATATCAAAATCAAATTAATAAACGAACACTTGATGGAGAAGAAGTATCGTCTTTGACAATAGGTGGTGCTGATTCTTCATCACTGGGATCTGGATTACCAGCTGATGTTTCATTAACTAAAATACGTGTTCACTGGAATCGTTCATCTGACAGAAATTCAATTATTCTTACTTTCGGTATTGTTATTCATAGCTTCACGTAAACGAGTAATTAATTCTGCTTTGCGTCCTTTGATATCAAGTCCACGTTTTTTCAATTCATTTTGTAATTCAGTGACTTTGAATGATTCCAAATCTTCACTTTCCGACATGTAAACTAAGCGGTTTTTATTTGAAATTAAGTTTAAGTCAGCTAAACGAAAGAAATGAAGAAAACAAAACAAATTTTCCTTTCTTTCTTCTAGCGTTGGTGAATTCCTTTGTCCAAGCGACCAGGCATATATCCAATCGCACATTGAAGTGTAGAGGGCAGCACTAAGCTGTCCATACAGCATGGTCAATCTATTTGATGAACAAACAACAAATTTCATCATATTATTCATAAGTTGTAAGTGATGCACTGCGAAAACTATTTTAATTGACTGGTTTCATCTAATCGAAAGAATATATTTTCTCTCTTTATATTCAAGAAATTCATTGTGTTATTTTCAATTTTCTAATTACACAAGTGTTGTCTCTGTTGACAAACTACAAAAGAGAACAAGGAGAAGAAGAATAATATTCATGTCTATTAAGGGAATACGAATTGTTGATGCTATTCATTTCTTAAGATAGGAAAATGATATGTAGATTATACTCATTTGAACATGTCGATCTCCGTATTGCTGACTTATTTCAATGTCTTGAACCCATAACTTCTTGATTTTCTTCTCACGTAGTTTTTCATTCATCCAATTGCTCAATTCAATTCGTGTGAGATTCTTCTATGAGAGAAGATAATACTAATAGTTTTCTTTCGTCAGTCATTAGTCCCCAGAAACAAAATCCATTGACATCATGTCTGAATCATTTTGTGAAAAGTCTCAACGACACTGTTCACTTATAACTTATGCCTTCAGTCCTTCACATATCAAAGATATTTTCGTCAGTATGGCAACAACATATGAGAGTAAATATTCTCAAAAAGATCTCCTATTCTATTTTGATTGTCTTCATATTTAGCTCCGAAGATTATCACAATTAATTCTTTACCAATTGCCATTACTTGTCGCATCGTTCAACTACTTATCTTAATATATGCATTCGTATATATCATCTGGTACAAACGCGGTTATCAAAATCGTGATTCATCGTTGTTGTCATCAGTAACGCTTGAAGCAAATGGTATTGGTGTTTACAATAAAGATGGAATTATGACGGTAGACAATGCCGATTATATAGTTCCGCCTGAAGAAAATAACGCATTGTTTATCATGACGAACTATATTGAAACGGATCAACAACGAGGTTTATGCGCTGAAAGCGCGGATATACGAGATTCAGGTTGTAAACAAGATTTGGAATGTGAAAAGAAACGTAGAAACCGTGTTATATGGAACGGCCGTTGGACAGGTAAATGTCATCAACCGGAAGGTCGATGTGAAATGGAAGGTTGGTGTCCTGTGGAAAACGACACAGTTATACCGAAACCGATCATCGGTACATTGAACTATACAATCTTTCTAAGGAATTTCGTTGAATTTACACGTTTCAGTGTCATGCGGCGAAATGTGCTCAATGACACAAGTTACTTTCGTACATGCCGTTATCATCCTGAGCACGATAGTCTCTGCCCAATATTTCGTATCGCTGATCTGTTGGATATTGTGGAAAGTGATCCCGAAGAACGCGAGAAAATGATGACAAACGGTGCTGTTTTGCGTATTAAAATCGATTGGATGTGCAATCTTGATTTGGGTGAACAAGAATGCAAACCGTCCTATTCATTTGGCCGACTTGACTCTCGTTTCCGTGATGAACGCTTCTCATTCGGTTTTAACTTTCGTTACGCATCGCACTGGAGAGTTAATAAGACAGAATTTCGTACATTGAAGAAAGCCTTTGGTTTGAGGTTCATTGTTACCGTTAATGGTGATGCAGGCAGGTTTAGTTTGCTAGTTTTAACATTAAATATCGGTTCGATCGTTGGTGTACTCGGATTAGCAACATTTATCTGTGATATTGTTGCTTTGTATTTCAGCGAACAAGGTTATATTTATCGACGACAGAAATTTCAATCAGTTCATCTGAAAAATAAAACAATTGGAGCATCGACGGTCGTACAATCATCGGTGCATAAGAGAAAAATGGCAAGGAAAATCAAACAACGAACATGACTCTCGCTTCCGATTCACATGAAATATTTGATGAGTACCTATATCTTGCTTTATTTGTTTTCAAAATAAATCTGTAGGAAAGAATACGCAATCGTTCTGAACTTGATTTGAATACTAAATCTTGAAGGATCATGTGGCGCAGATGAATCTTTTTCTTAATTAGAAATGCAACGTTCTCTACAAGAATTACTACTGGATGATTATCTCGATTTTGATGATCGGATTGATGATATTGATCAACAAGATGATATTTCGGCATCATTTGATCATGAACAACATATTCGATATAACCCAATTCATAACGAGAAAACTAGTCGAGATTATCTTCAAGAAATCATTCACCATCCAGTGTACGACTATTTCATGGGATTTGTTGTTATATCAAGTTCGATAACACTTGGATTGAGTTTAGAAACAGATGTTGAACATCTTCATAATGCATATCGTCAAAAATTGATTTATATTCTGGATGAAATCTTGATTGCGATACTCTTCCTGGAATTTATCGTTAAGCTGTATCTAAAATCGAATAATTATTGGTTTCATTGGGCGAATCTCTATGATTTTTCCATCATTCTCTTCGGTTTCGTTGAAATCTTTTGGAGTCTCGTTTATCAGAAGTATAATTCCACAATTATCAACCTTTTCAAAGGCTTTCGTCTGTTACAACTCATGCGTTTATATCGAATTATCAAATTCTCTCAAGGTTTACAAGTCTTGGCAAAAGCTTTGATGAAAACAGTCTTGACATACACGTTCAGCGTTGGAATACTAGTTTTTCTTCTCATTTACGTCATTGCTGTCATTGGGCAAATGCTTTACGGAAGGCCCGAAGAAAGGTAAATAGAATCAGAAGATAAGAAAATGAATTCTTCAATACTTTTCTAGTCCTTGGCATCATTTTTCGACGTCATTATCTGTTGTAACACGGTTAATGTTTGTTGATAATTGGAATTTAATTGGACCGGATCTTGAAGAAGCTGGAAGTCCGCCAATATCGCGTTGGTTTTTAGTAATCAGTGTTTTCATCGGAAATCGAATCGTTACGAACGTTCTTGTTGGAATCATGATTGAAAGTGTGTCTTCGGTCAATGATGATTACATGAGAGAGAAACGCGAGAAGAAAATCTTGCGAAATCAACAAAAACGCGAAGAATTAAGTAGAAGTATAGTAGAAAAGATAATCTGTGATATGACAGAAAGAATCGAATAGGTTTTTTTAAGGAACAATTCATGTGTTGAATACACGTTTCTCGGATACAAATAATAAAACGAATACAACAGAAAATACAATTGAAAAGATCAAAGAGAAATTGAAATTAATTCACAATGAAACGATTTTACCGAAAGATTTCGTGTTTTCTATTGATTGGTTAGAGAAACTGATCACATGTAGGTAAGAAACCATAGCTCAATGGAATTTATATCGAATAGTTTTCTAACAATCACGAAACTTCGATTTTATTTTTAAATCGTCTTAGTGAAAGATCTCAATTTGAAGGTCAATCGGTTCGTCAGCTACTTGTTCATCTAATTCAGTCATTATCAGATATAACCGAAGAAAACATGAGAAGATTTCAACAAGAACAAGAACAACATCACATTTAAAGACATAAATGAAAATCATTGAACAAAGGAAACGTCAAATGAATAAACTGTTATTTTTCGATTAAAGTATGCCAACGCGTGATCGTGTCACCTTTACCTGCAAGCATTGCTTCCCAATGTGAACTTTGAGCAGGACCACTCGTGTTATGACCTGATTTACAGAGTAAATATCAAACGAGATTAACAAAGAGAACTTTTACCGAAAGAAATCGATCCGAAATCGTGATCGAATGAATTCAGCACTTTCTTACTGAGAACAACTATGACAATTGTGATTTGTTCGAGAAAATTCTCTTGAATGTTAAATGGATAACGTTCAGCAAAAACGGGATGATGTTGAGTATGGCGAATCACCGTTTGATTGGTCGTGATATCTTCTCCACTTGCATTTCGTAATGTAATTTGTACGCAAGTATCTGAAGAAAATCAATCATGGCGTTCGCCTTCTTACAAATTAAATCTTTACCAGGAGCTCGACCATGTGCATTCATACCAAAGTTAATTCCTTTTCCAATTTCAAGTATGAGCATCGCTTGATTACGGTCATAAGCTAAACCGATTTCCAATTCAGGTACAAGCGAGTTCGTTGAACTATCACCATTACGAATAAAGGAATTTTGTCGTGATTGAGAAGCACTACTGGCATGAGAACGACTTCCAATATCAGAATCTTGTGAAGGCTAAAATATGATGAAGTTCTATTGATATTCAATTCTAAGATAGTTTGTGTTCTACGAACAAAAGCTCGTTCCAAAGGAATTATTTTACACATATCCTCATCGAGATTGACCATTGCAAACATAACTGAGGCTTCTGCCAGGAGTTTTTCACGTTTGAATCGTTCGTATGAGTACAGACGGAATCGAATACCTTGGCTTTGAATTGTCTCTACAAAGTATTTCATTACGAACAAAATATGACAACTCTGAAAAGGAAAAAAAGCTAACCAGGTGACACTTTGCAAAAGAATTCCTCAGCAAACATGGCATTATCGATCGGTTTAACCCGTGTACGATATCGGACGCGTTTACTTGGTAGGACAGTTAAATGTACTTGAACAAGGATTTGTTTCGAAGGATTTTGTATCATTTCTAACGTTGCTTTAATGACAAAAACCCACATACGATTATTTTTAGCATCCAATTTCAACCGAACTTCCAATGTGCCCCAAGATAAACTATTTACCGGACCATTGATTGCCAAGGCGGAACCATCACTCGAAGCAGATTTCGTATCCTAAACACACATATCTTAATATTACACATAGTACGTCATTTTCCAGATCGTTCAATTAGAAAGATAATTACTCTTTCACATACGCACATCAAAGTAACAATAAATATAGTAAACGATATTCGTTTCCTTATTAAAAATGTCTTTTAACAGAGACGCATATAAAAGACATTGTTGCGGTACGTAAACAGATTTTTTTCTCATTTCCTTTTCTATAGTTGTGTCTAAAATATTTGAAAACGAGTATTGCTCTATACAGGAGTTCTTTTCAACCGCCTTCATGTAAATAGTCTATTCAAATTTCGAGATCATTCTAAGTACAAAGCTCCGCGGATAATAACGATGATTCTACATTCAACTAACACGCATGTAAATTGCACTTGACGTTTTCTACTAATCCTTACTCTTATTTTAGAAAAATATTCAAAAGATGAGGTAATCGAAGTATGTCTTGAGAGATTAGTTTTCAACATACACTATCCGGTGGATCTAATGAAATATGATTATGACTGATTCGCGATTTGGCATGATGTTGCAAAGTTGGTGATGCAGGAGCTGATTGTACTTGATCTACAGGGTCATTGTCAATAGTTGAACACCGTCGGGTTATCGCAGTAATTGTTGTTTTACGTTGATTGAGATTCTTCTGGTTCAAAGTTTGGCCTAAAATTTTGTGTGTGAAACCATCGAACTGATTTTCATTCCTATGATCATATTCACTTCTTTCCCGTCCGGGATCGTTTTCTTTATTTTCGATAATAATCGGTATTGCTGAAGAATTTCGAGTATTCACATTGATTTTCTTCGGTGGAGGCATCAACGTTCTGTAATCATCATCCGGCAAATCGGTTCCAGCTAAAACATAAATAGACGGAAGTCATAGGACTCTCGGAGATTTGGAATTACAAATGGATTCTATATCCACGCACCTTGAAGATCAAGGTATCACATAATGAATAATTAGATACAAACTTAGTCTTCGTCAAGAACAGAACGACAGATGTTAAATAAAGAACAATCGACTTACAGAAAAATGGATAATAACACATGGCAAGTTTGCTTTTTCAAATCGTCTAGATCAGTATCATAAGTTTATATTCCACTGATGTCTATGACATTGATTGGTAACGAAAGTTTTCTATTGACTAAATAACATTGCGGATCTTTTCTGAACTCGCGTGTTTAGTAATCTAAATCAATTAGAATAAAGAAAATGACATTGTCAGTGATTGAATTTAAAGATTAATAGAGATAGATGATAAGAAAAGTCGTGATTAAAGGATGTAGAAAAAAAAATTCTTAAAGCAAAAAGACGACTAATATCTTATTTTTCTTGAATATTAATTAAGTCAAAAAATGACCTCATTTGCTTATTAGGATAGGCAAAATAAAAGAGAAGACGAAGCCGTAGTGTTCACACGCACTAAATATCAAAAAAAAAAAAGAAAAAGAGGAAAAAAAGAAAGAAATTGACTTAAGTGTATCATGCTTGAAACTTATTCATGAATTAAATATAGGAAATGAGAAAGCGAGAAAAAAACAAAGACAGATAGATCTGTATGTATGTTTCTCTTCTTATTTTATCAGTAATAAAGAAAGGAAAATAGAAAAGACGAGAAGTCACAAATTATACAAAACTTTGACGGAAACGTAGACAACTCATGCCAGATGCGATTAAGAGAAAACGAGAGAGCGAGAGAAATGACGGGTATGATCTAGTGACGAATGAATGAAAATAGAAGATGAACTTATGTCAAAATTATTTAGCAAGAACTCTTCTTAATTAACCTTTCAAAGTTAAACAAACTCGATTGAAAATTATTCAACAGTACTCTTTGTTTAGAAACACCTGTATTAGTACTCTAGCAAATATTTATCGCACGGACTAAGTGCGTATACTTCATGTCACTAAATATTTAACTGTTATACGCACTTTGGAAAAAATGTTGATGAATCTATGTTTTATTAAAAGGCAGATTTAGCTGACTCAGTTTCTCTTTCGACTTTGAGAAACAAGGTTTTGTAGACATCAATTGTTTGACTATCGATCCATAAATCCAGTTGACATTATCAAATATAAATATTAATTTTCCTGACACTTATGATTAGCTGATCATGTCAGATTACCCAGATACATCCAGGGTTGTTCTTTCTATTCAGTGATGAAATTTTCACATTATATCGCTTATAATTACTAACAAAATCATACCTTACAAATATCGTCATGATCTGATTATTCTTTATCACATACGAATACTTCCATATCCGATACAGTGAACCCCAACTGTCAACACATGTAAAAACGAAGTCAAATAGTTCTGAATAACTCAAGATTCAACTAGTGCCATTGTCATCACTGTTTTCTAGAGAGAAGGAGCGAGAAGAAAAAGTAGAGTATGATTTGGTGTTCGATTGATGTTAGAAAGTTGTGAATAATTTATGATTAATGTTTATTCCTGCATGACAAATTCTTTTTGTTGAATTCACAATAGAATGGTATTCGTAGAAGATTAAATAGAAACGTTTTGTCATTTTCTCTCTGATGACTATGGAGGAGTGTTTTTTTTTTGTATTCATATCAGAACAATCAAATTAACAACAAGGAAAAAGAAAATCATATTGACTATATTTTGGATTGACATGCTTTGCGCTGGTGGTAATTGAGCATGATTGTCACCAAGACTGGGTGCGCGTAGTGACTCAGGAAACATGTCGACACCTGATAGGAGAGCAGTTTGAGACAGAATAGCAGCAGCTGCTTGTTGAACATTAGCTGCATTAAGAGGCATTGTCGGTATTGAAAATGGAGTACCAGAAGTGGCTAGAAATGGAAATGGAACAGCTGGATTGACTGTCAGAGGAAGAGGAAGTCGAACAGTGACTACTGTTACTGACGTTGGAATGATAACTTTATCAGTTCGATTAAGTAATATCACAGCTGAATAGCCTTGTGAGATTGTACAAATTTGATAAGGTTTGCTAAAAGTGTTTGAATTCTAGTATATTAATTCGTTATAACTTAGGTATCTGATGGGAAAAGTTAGAATAAAAAAATGAGAGTAATTCTTCTGTCTATAAGAAAGTATGTAAGAAATATAGGTATACCGGAATAAGGTTCCAATTTAGATGTGCAAAGATCTTGAATATCCGTTTCTAAGTTAAAATTAGAAAGAAAAATAGTCGTGCACTGTGCACGGGTCATTTCAAGTGAATAGATAAGCATAATCCGAACTTCTCTACCATGTAATCAGACACGGAAACAAACGTTGAAATCATCATTCTGTGTATCAAATAGAATTCTCTAAAAATTCGGCTCATCGATGTGTGAGCATTTGACTAACTATGTGAAATAAAAGATAAATAATAACTGAAACTGAATTCTGACTTCACGGCAATACGTATTGAATCTGATATGTGCTCGTCTTGATTAACTGACGTTCGAAAAAGCGCAGGAAGAGAAAAATAAGGACTGTTGAGGTTGACGACATCAGTCACATGATGAAAGAATATATAAATAAATGTTAACTCCTTTTTCAACAGAAAACGAAGAAGAAATGGAACTATATGACTTACCCGATGAAATACTTCTGATGATTTTTTAGAAAAATTGAATAATATTGAGGCTTTTTATTCCTTTTACAAAAACAATCAACAATTCAATCGAATTCTCTATGATTCAATATTTACAATCCATCTCAATTTTATGACGTCGCCATCTCACAAAATCATCATTGATTTTTCTTCTGATCATGTATTAAATCAAATTTCTTTACAAATTCTACCTGACATTTGTACACATGAACTTGGTTTATACAACTTCGATACAATCATGATTGCTTCTCTTTTAACAGACAATTAGTATTTCCTAAGGATATCTACATACACAAATTTTCCTCACGTAATATTCTTAAGAACCAGATAACATTGCTCGTTATCGGAATTCATTTCGAACAGCTAACTTCATTAGTAATAGATGAAATATGCAATGTTACATTTTGTGCAATCGACAATTTAACTGATTTGAAATTCTCTATTATGCATTATATCTTTCTATTGAGATTTGGTGTTACTTTTCTTCGATTTCGTAGCGAAGTATTTCAAAGCTTAAGTGTTTTAATCTCTCTTGTGTTTGGAAGACATTTCATTATGATAATCTAATTGTGTCATTTCTTCATCGAATGTCGAACCTAGAAAAAACTTGGTCTATATTTCAAAGCTTGTGTCAAGGAAATATTTATTGATGATAGAAATTTAAAAGAAAATGTTATATGTTATTTGCGAAATTTGAGAACATTCGATTTTGATATTTATTCAGCTGGATATGTAAATTATTCACCAAACATTTGAAGATCTTCCATATGGAAAAGTAATATCTTACATTCATCGTGTATCTGAGCGAAAATATGCCCAATAATATGTATATTCATATCAATTTCTAATCAATTCTTACGATTACATTACAAATCATTTTCCAGGTGGAGTTTATCCATATGTTCATATTGTGTCAGTACATGATGATCATCCTTTCGAATATGCATCAATTTTTCTATATCATATCACTTTCATTTCCATTAATGAGTAGATTAATTGTGCGTAGTCATCATACACAAATTTATAAACAAATAATTGATTTAGAACAAAGTTTGAAAGTTTTTCAATACAATCATTCGATTGAATTTGACAGTGCTCGGTGTCATGATGATTATGTGAAAGAATTCCTTCGTCATACGAAAGTATATTTAAATAATTGTATTTCATTTTTTGGTGATTTAGGGTCATTGATATGAGTAACAGACAATGTGACAAGAAACGAAGGGTGAGTTAATTATGTAAAAATCAACGAGTTGTATTTATTAGGAAAAGACAATGATTTAACTGAGATTTTGTTCAATTATTTTCCTCTTGTATCAATATTTTGATCGTTATTGTTTGTATGTCTTTAAAGGAAAAAACATAGTTGCTCATAATAAATTAGTTGTCATTTGGATGACAATGAAATTAACCCAATAGCTCATATTGTGGAACGAATGTTTGATCGAAGTATTGTCCTTATAGAAGATGAGTAGAGATAATGTCCCTAATAGCGACGGGACATTTTTATACGATCTTGTTTGACTTGGCGTTCCTGTATTCTATGGGCGATGTCTAATTCTTTTATGTTTGGGGAATCTATCGATGACGCTCTTTCGAATGGTGTATTTTTCAGGAACGGGATATAATTAGTAAAAACGTTTTTAGCTAACACATCGTTTGTTCGTGTTAGCTTCACATCGATCATATCCAACCACAGAAAACAACAGGAACTCGAAGCACTTTGTCGTCAAGGACTATATGATTACAAAGCAAAAGGTTGATTTTTTACGTATCTGTCTGAGATCGGTGCAGTTTTTCGAATTGATCGTTATTAGTTTCTTTCCTTTCGTAAAAAGATGCTTCAAAATGAAAAGAATCACCTTTTTTTTTCTATAACATAACTGAAATGTGAAATACTCATTATTGGTGCATAGCTGCATGTTTTCATATTTGTATCAGTGACACTGTAAATTAAGCGTTCAATCAATGTTCACCTATCGTTTTTATATTCCGTTTATAGTAATTCGCTACTCATAGCACAACAAGAAATGAGATTTTATCGGTAGTGTCAGCGTACTCATTGTTACCCTTTTTCAAAGTCGTACTGAAAGCACTGACCACAACGTTATCCATTCATACAGGTCTACGGTTCATTAGATCTGAAACGCTTCGTATTCGATCTCAAATTAGTCAGTCGACGATTGTTCTTTCTGTTTAATTGTAAAATTTTCACATTATATCGCTTATAATTACTAACAAAATCATACCTTACAAATATCGTCATGATCTGATTATTCTTTATCACATACGAATACTTCCATATCCGATACAGTGAACCCCAACTGTCAACACATGTAAAAACGAAGTCAAATAGTTCTGAATAACTCAAGATTCAACTAGTGCCATTGTCATCACTGTTTTCTAGAGAGAAGGAGCGAGAAGAAAAAGTAGAGTATGATTTGGTGTTCGATTGATGTTAGAAAGTTGTGAATAATTTATGATTAATGTTTATTCCTGCATGACAAATTCTTTTTGTTGAATTCACAATAGAATGGTATTCGTAGAAGATTAAATAGAAACGTTTTGTCATTTTCTCTCTGATGACTATGGAAGAGTGTTTTTTTTTGTATTCATATCAGAACAACCAAATTAACAACAAGAAAAAAGAAAATCATATTGACTATATTTTGGGTAATAGGCCAGTTTTAGCGATTTGTTCACGTAAAGTACGAATTTGCATGCTTTGTGCTGGTGGCAACTGGGCTAGTTGAGTATCATCTAGTTGTAATAGAAGAAGAGCAGCATTCTCATCAAGATTGGGTGTACGTATTGGTGGTGGTGGTGGTAAAGGATTGATCTGAGGTGGAAATGCTGTTTGAACAGGAGGAAATGGTGGCGGAATGAGAGCGCCAGGAAACATGCCAGGACCTGATAGGAGAGCAGCTTGAAACAGAGCAGCAGCTGCTTGTTGAGCGTTAGCTGCGTTAGAAGGCATCATTGGCATGGAGAACGGTGCACCAGGAATGACCGGAAATAGGAATGGTACAGCTGGATTGCCTGTCACAGGAAGAGGAAGTGGAGCGGTGACTGCTGCTGTAGGTTGTGCGGTTGTTGTAGATGATTTTCTAACATCTGTCGGAGTTGGAATAATATCTTTATCAGCACGATTAAGCAATGCCATAGCCACTTGTGGATCGACAATTCTCATCACGACTTGAGCTTGTAACAGTGCATATGCCAATTGGGGATTAGTTGATAGAAGTGTTTTTGCTTCGTTTGGATTCGCGTCAATGCATTGTTTCATTTGTTTCATTAATTCGAACATCTAATAGAAGAAGATACAATGAAAAAAACGATAGTTATTCAAATTACAAACCTGAGCCGGTGGCAAAGAAGCAACAGCATTTGAAATCGATTCACGTTCTTCTTTATTACTAGTATTAGCTGAAGTAGTTGTTGGTGGTGCCGAAGATTCTACTGGTAAGGTCATGACTGAGGCTTGTGAAGGTTGCATCGCTGTTGCGTTTGCAAGACGAGGATCATTCTTGTTCAACGAAGTAACTGTCGTTGTTGTCGTCGCACATACTTGTTCGAATAAGTTCTTCACTGGTTCTGCTTGATTGGAAAGCAGTTCAACAAGCAAACGAAAACCACCGAGATCAAGACCATTCAATTTACCAATAACTGTTTGGGCGATTTCATTCGATGCAAACTGAAAGATTTTCAGATGGAGAATCTCTTTTTTTTTTAGATAGAAACACTTACTTCAGCAAATGCATAACCTCTTGACGTTTGTAAACCTGATTCGGTCATATTATTCGCTCCCGTAGGATCGAGAAACATGTGAAAATGAATCAGAGCTCCAAATTGACTTAACATTTGTCGGAAAAGATCTTCTGTTATCCCAGCAGGTATATTTTGTACAAATATAGAACGAATATATCGTTCAATGTGTGTCGGCGGCATAGTCTATCTATTCTCTAGAATAAAAAGATGTATATTCTTTTAAATTTATTTCTCTTTTTGTTTTATTATTATGTTGACGCATTTTCTTTAGTTTTTTTTCAGAATTTCACGCAGAATAAAGCGCTTTACCGATAAAAATGATAAAAAGAAGAAAAAAAAAGACTCTTCAAATCGTGGTTAACAGCTTGTTTAACAATGCAATTTAACGGGCAAAATCCCAACGAGATTGATCTTTATTATCAGCGTTATCATTAGATGGTGTTTTTGGCCACCACTGTGCTTCCGGATTCGATGAAGTCATCGGATTCCAAAACTAAAAGAAAATAAGGAATCAATGAAAATAAAACGAAATGTGAATTGACTTATTACATTATTTCCTTCGTTTTCTTGTTTATTTTCACCTGAATTCTCCATTGAAGATGAATCTGCGGCGGGTAAAAACTTCGACCAATTATTATTCGTTGGTTTTACTACATCGGCTGACGAAGGAGTAGTTGGCTGGAATATTTCATTCCATTCATTTCCCTGCTTCGAACGTGTATTCAATGGCGTTGAACGTGGTGTCGCTGTTCCTAGAGCCGTTGGCCAAACGGTTGATTCCTCCTTTGACATCTGTCGAAATACAAATGGATTCGGCATATGTGTTGTTAACGGAATGCTTGGCGTTTGAGTCGGCCATGTCGAATCGTACTTTGTTGCCCAATCATTTGCCGCAAATGGTGTCCAAGGCACATTTGGTGTCGCCAAATCTTGTGGTAATGTTGCGGACGTTGCTGAATTCGAAACATCGGGCGTCGATGGTACGGTTGCAACACTATTTTGATGATCAAGCAGATGATTTATTTGAACGAGTACATCCGGCGTAGTTGGCGATTGAGTAATCTGAGCAAAGGTTGCTGACGACTGTGCAGGTGGTGAATAGTTCAATTTGTTAGGACGTTGGATTGGACCATGCGTATGTTGTGGAAAAGATACTGGTTCAATGCTAAAATGAGCAAGCATGGATTCAGCAAGGTCATTCAGATTAAGGATGTTTCAAATGAGAAAGTAATCGAATTTATTTATGCGAAAAGCAACTACTGATAAAACATTCTATCCATTCAGGCTACCTTTGTACGTTGTGAGTCAAGCGGTAAATATTTTTCGTTTCTTCTCACTGTGATTGATTACTCGAGAAGACTCTTATTAAATTTTGCTTAAACCGATGATGTCATATACTGTTCTGTTTTTCAATACATACTTTTCTTTGATGAGAGATGTAGGTGTCGTTGATCTCTCTTGCATACTTGTTGTCATTGCTGGCGGTGTGATTGATAACGACATTAACGGTGGTATGTGATTCGATACTGTTTTGTGTTGTGCTTGCGTTCGTTCATTCGTATCCAATTCACTTTGTAAAGCATATCGACCAAAATCTGAAAGACGAAAGAAAATAGTGCTTTTTTAGATTGTACTGATCGTTCGAACTCACTCGAGGGTGTCACAGAAGTTAAATCAAGCATTTTTTTTTAATAAAAAGAGTTTAATTTAGATTAAATAAAAGTTAAACTGTTTAACGGGTAGCAGAGAATTAAGAGTTTAATAGAAGTTTAATGATGCGTCGTTCTCTGGATGTTTTCAATTTCTCCTCAAAAAAACAACCCCTTATATACTATTAAGTTGAGTAATGACAACACGGACAGAACGAGTAAAAAAGAATGGAAAGAAAAAAGTACAACGTGCATGTATCGATCAGCATAACCACCGTTTTTTTTTGAATACTTGCCAAAAAAAGAATGAGACGAAACGTAGTCTTCCTTTTCTTATGTGTCTGATGATTCACTTTTGCCGTCAAAAGTCAAATATATACGTACTTATTGGTGTTATAAATATATTAGCCAGCAGAGCATGTGTTAAAGAGGCGATAGAAAGACTCAAAGCAATATGCATTACCGTCGTCAGGAATATCGGGCTCATCCCAGTCAAGATTTTCTTCTAAATCATCATCATCATCATCGGATCTTGCGAGATCCTCCTCCTCTTCGTTACCACCACGTTCGGATGGTGGTGCTGATGAACAGCGTGAACGTATGGACATTGAACATGCCGTTGTCGCTGATGGTAAACCAGCTGCCCACAACTGCTCGGTTAACTGACGAAAAGCTAACTCTCGATTCGCATTAGATATTGATGTACTATCCTGTAGACTATTTCTTTTCGCTAGATTAGGAGTTGGCACAGGCGACGGATTCTTAGGCGTAGGACGACGGCGGCGACGGGATACTTTTGTACCAGAATGTTGCGCTATCGACGTTGAGAATGGACCAGTTTGGTTTTCTACAAGAAGAAAGTCAAATCTATTTGCTGAATGGATAGAAAGAGGAGTTTGCAAACCCGATGTTTCAGCTGTTTGATTTGTAGTTTGGGATTCATCGACCGCTTCTCGACGCGAAGATGTTCGAGTCTTACGATGCCCTTTCGTCGTATGCACCACCTTCCATTGTTGCTCTTTGATAGAATCATCCAGCTCCGTTGAATGGATTTGATTAGAATCACGAGACGATTGAATTGGATTGATATCTACAGTCGATGTTGGAGTGGTATTTGAAGATAACTTTTTTGTTTTACTTGAAAGACGTCGTGATCGCGAAACCTACGACAAACATTGTCTGAATCGGATCGAAATATCAAAGTAAATGCGGCAACGTACAACAAATTGTTCGTTTTCTTCATCTGATACTGTCGATGAAGAGACGCCCTTTGGCACTGCCGGAGATGTTCGTTGATCTGACTTTTTCCTTGGACGCGACTGAGGTTGAACTGTTAATTCTGATTGATCCTTTGACGTCTGAAAAAGTTGTTTTTTTTTGCTCAGAAACTATCTCGGTATTTATCAGAAAAACAAGCCAACCTTTGATAAACTGCCATCCGTCGTTAGTCGCCGTGTTTTATCCTGTATTGGTTTGACTTCCAGTGATGACGATCCAGTCGATGTCCGAGGTTTTCCTATTGTTTCTCTCTTCTCATTAACTGGCGTAGTTGAACGTTTCGCTTTCAGTGGGTTCTTTGGTAACTCACTAGTTTTTCCTTTTTTCGTATCAGGAACTATCAGCGATTCAATGCGCTCGCTACAATACAGACTTCGTTCTCTTTTGTACGTTCAAATTAGATCATACCGAGTTTTTTCTTCTTTTTGCACAGCTAATGACAAATCACTTAGATCAAAGATTTTGTTATTCGTGGTTTCCATAAGGTCACGCCATCCAACGCGTGTTAAATACTATATAAACAAAACACAGAATACGGATCGACGAAGAAGCAAATTTGTCAGATTACATTATCGAAGGTTCGTCGTGCATCGTATATGGCTGCGAAAAATATCAAAATAAACATGATGAATAAAGAACAGAAACATAAGTAATATGTTCGCAATTCCCACACTGGCCGTGGAACAATTTGATAACATGCGGATAAGACACGTTGTGGAATTCGAACGTGGATCGGGAATGTCATAAGACCAATATTTGTATTCAATGTTAATGTTCGATTGACTTCATCCGTAGTATAATCAGGTTGATATCTTTGAAAAAAATAGAAAATTTCATCAAAATCAAAACAAACGATTTTGATTACGTACAAGATATGAAGACTATATTTCTCATTCGATTCAATCTCAATATTGCCGCACACGGGAGTAGAAAAGCCATATCCAGAACAAGCATTTTGATCGAATGATATCTCGTAGATTATTGTTTTCATATTTCCTGTATTATACAATGTAATTGTTTTTCGAAATAAGAGATTTCTTGGAGGATCTAAGAGAACAGTGTCGAAAAAGGAAATCTTGTAACAAAGACGTTTTACTCGAACAAAGTGTATGCTGTTTCTCATCAATCATGATGTCAATTGGAGTAATCGGTGAACTCGCTTCGCGATGTCCGACTTGCAAACTACCGATTCCACCTTCTCCGCGTAATAATATCGATTCTATAACTGTGAGATTGTTTCTAAACAACAAATTAGAATTCATTTCATAGTTAAGACTTATTCAACAAGTGACGTCACATTACCGGACAATAAAGTACATTTCATGTTTAATTGTTTGCGTTGGTTGGTAGGCAATGGTGAATTTCATCTGTTCCGTTGGTTGAAGATAGAAATTGTACATTCCATTGATTAAATCGACGCGTTTCGATGGCTGAAAGCAGGCAAGCATGATTTATACGCCGTATCATACTTTGAATGGAATACTTACTGTAGCGATGGTGAATATTCGGTCGTCGATAATCTGTTTCGAACTTTCGGAATTATTACAAAGAAGTTCGACAGTATAGATCACAGAATTTGGCGAAGGATTGCTTATAATGATATCTTTCGTCTAAGTATCGGGAAAAACATGTAAGCGTGCAGGAGTAAAATCAATGATAAACATTGCAATACTTTAGTAATATTGATAAATATCACTTGGAAATCAAGAATGATGGGTGTACGGGATGATAATGAAAACATATGTTCAAGTACGGATGGCCAAATAAAAGCAATGGAAATCGGCACAGAGATATTCGCTCGATCAGTATAAATCCATACATGAGTTTGAATTCTTTATCGAAAGGAAATAGCTGAATAAAGATTCATCTCTTCTGAATTCTCTTACTTTTGTTTTTGTACAATTAATATCCATTCAAGCCAAAGATTTCGAAATTGTTTAACTAACGTATAATCAAGTTCGTATGTATTCAATGCAGACACATGTTCATCCCATTTTCGTTTGAATACAACATGATGATTTAAACCACAGTAAACATTCAATTCAGACGGAAAAGTTTTACATAACGGTGCCATGTCGAAACGAAATTTACCAAGCTAAGAAACGCCATTCAAGATCTAGATTTGAGAATATAAATTCTTCTTACTCGTTGTGTTCGATTTGATTGAAGTTTCAAACGAGGGGCGGATGGGTCAGGCCAAGTGAATGTAAAGCATGATTTATGTGTTTCAAACTCAATTCGTAGTACATTCACTGGTGTGTTGAATTTATTGTTCAGGAATATATCGATGATTTCAATGCGGTTCTAGAAGAAATAAATTAAATCGTAAACCATGATAAAACGTTCAATACTAAAGATGCATTGATATGTATTGGTGTTTTGTTTGCATACTGAAGTGAGCCATCAATGGTTTGATAGTTGATATTAATTCGCAGAGTCTACGCCGAGAAATGAAGATTAGAAATAGATTCATGATATTATTTTTTACTTGATAAATCGTTCGAAAAGTAATGGATTCGTTGTGTATTCGTACTTGATCACCTCCATCGATTGTCAATCGAAACACAGCGCGGTGCTGCTCCGGAATAATTAGCTAACAATAGATGTATACCTTCGATATTAAAGTCTCGTTTCATATTAAATCTACCTGAGAAATATTTTCATTGGTAGTGATATTGTCGGATCTGCGTTCTAACTGATGATTATCAGCTAGTGGCTCCATATGATTCAATTGAATCTTCATGTTTGACAAAGTTGAATCAACATTTTCGATTTGAACGTCAATTGGATTTGTATTCATCAATACAAATGTAACTGTCAATGATGTGTGAACAGGTATACTGGCGAGAAAGAACTCGAGTGGATTGGTATCATCATTATGAATACCACCATTCGTATGATCAGTGATGAGATTCAACTAAAGAGAATAATCTCAATGGTTATCGATTCTCTTGCAAACACTGAATTAGTCTTACAGAGAGAAATCCATTGTATAGATAAAAAGGAAATGGGAAACATGAGAGATTGGTATGCACATTCAGTGTTGTTTGGATATTGATGAATGGTGTTGTTGATAACGGTTGTTTACGAAGATTAATACATAGTAATTTAGTCCATTGGTTAGGATAGAGATAAAGAATCGATGAGAAAGCTTCGATCTATGTAGAAAAATATGAGTTTAAATGAGTTTTATTCGATTTTTTTCTTACTTCAATGTATGGAGAAAGAAGTTCTGGATTGTCGATTGTGATATTATATACAGAAAGTGGAATAGTATAGCGATTGATGAATTTAATTGGCTGACAATCATCACGATTCGCTGATGGAATAAAAAAACGTGTGTTTTCTTTCTCATAATCTACTAAACCATGATAAACTATTTCATCAAATGGGATTCGTAACCGAGGTTGCTCATCATCCGCCGTGTATACTTGAACATCACCTGTTAAATGCTGAATATCAGTTGGAATCAATGACGGATAAAGAGTAATTTCAGCAATAAGGTTCAAATGATGGATATCCGCTGGTATGGGAAGAGTTTTATAAGATACAGTCATATAGTTTTGATGTTCGTCTGACACGCGTACATTCTAAACAAAACAAATCTTGTTAATGATCTGGAATTCTATTCAAGGATCTTTTTTGGAACATTTGACAGCAAAAACATCGAACGAATCGTTTATTTAGCCTTCTCTGCTCCATTAAACCAAATTATTTACAATTGATCTCTCTTACTAGGAACATCCTTTCCACACCATTCTCGTTCACTTCGGAACTTACTGAAATCAACAGGGGATCCAAATCATTGTTGAATATATAAATTGGCCTTGTTATCGGTTTCATTGTTGAATGTATATAGCTATTCGCTGAAAATTCCAGTAAATCGACATTGGAATATATTCTGGGATGATTCAAAACATTGATTTTCACCGGTAAAAGAATAAAATCTGTCGCATTGGTTTGGATGCAAACAAAACCACGAAAATGATTCAATTCAAATGCCCAATACTTAATCTTTATCACTGATTTGACTTCGTATGGTTTCAAATGCCACTGTTCATAAAATTCCAGATTTTTCGTTATCTTATTTCGGATATTTCGCTTGGACAATAAATCAATATTCAGATTTTCATCACTTGTGTATATCTCATTGATATCTATTGAATAATTATACGGATTATAGAAGTCAATTGTGTATTCAAATGTCGAATTTAACGGGATTGTCGCACTAATCAGTGACCGTAAACGAAATGGATTGGATATACCTTTTCCATAAACCTTCAAATGATCGTTCGAATGAAAAGAAAACGCATCAAAATGGGAGCTTACACGAAAGAAGAGTTCTCCACGATTGGTTTCAACGGTAAAAATACTTTGAATATTGTCGATCGTTTGCGGCAAGCAATAGATATTAATTGATGTATTACCGCCATGAGCTGGAAGTATTGTTTGTTTGAAAAATGATGAATAAAAATGAGTTGTATTTCCTGAGATTGATTTTAATTCCAGTGGTTCAGAATTATCGTTGATGATCATCACCGTCTGCATGCGTGGAATGGCAATGGGTCTAAATACTCATAAATATCTAATTAGACAAAGTTTGAGTTATTGAATTGAACACTTACTGTTCAGGAAAATGAAGTGAATGAGGAATAAACCGTATGGAGAGCAAGGAATCTTCGGGTGATGGTTCAGTAACAATATCTTCATCTAATTTTATCTGTTCATCATACGGTTGCAGCAAATTTATCAGTAATTCTCTGTACGCTTCGAGATCCTTCGTGAAGAAAGAGATAATTTCAAAGTCGTATTGAACAAAAAACGTACTGTTAACTGAGAATCAAACGGCACATCTTCTCTCAATGGAAATTGTATAGTCGCTAAACAAAATAGAAGTTTTAGCTAATATGAAATTGATTTATCTAACCTTCATCATTATTCAATGCACTGATTATCATTAAAAATGCTGTAGATATGTGTAACAAAAAGATGTAGTGTAAACAATAACAACCGCGACTTGAAGGTTGTTGTTGAGTTTGTAATTTTGTAGAAAAGATCATTTATTCGCAGATCGAAACACAGAAAATAATTACTACGAATCGATTTTATAATCTAAAGAAGAAAATCACGTTCAATAGTGAGAGGTTTTCTCCGAGATATATTCTCTACATGGTGATTAAAGCAAGTCGAAGTATTAGAAGAGTATCGAAGCGTAACACATTTTGTACATATTCATCTTTTCTGTCCTTTGATCAAAACGCGTTTGTTAGGAAAAATTTTTCGTTTAGTTTCGATTGGAGTGAGAAAAGCGACCAATTAGATACGAATATTTGACAGGTGATATGATGAGGGCGCTAGGTTATCAATTATTGAATTGACACGAGAGTTCCGACAGAATATTCATTGTAACGAGAAAAAAAATGCTTTCTTTTCTCATGATATCTGTTCTTGTTCGAATATTAGACGAAAAAAATCTGACACGTCGGTGTCATATGTTCGTAAGAGAAAAATACCCATCATTTTTCCCTCGATGGATAATTAACGAAAGGAAAAAATCGTTGATTTCGGCCGAGTTTACCTTGTCAGGAGAATATTAGAGAAAGAAAAAGTAAAATATCGTTATTTCATGTGATTGCGCGATGAGCAAATCTATGTTTTGGACTGCTACTAGATGGTTAAAACAGCTTGATTGACGAAGCGTTACTTACTATCAAAATATAAATCAGCAAAACACGTATTCATCCCACAGAATAAACCAACTTTGAAGCGCAACCCAGCGAAAGTGCTTCATTCGTTTTTGATCAACAACAACGAAATTACTGTTTGTTTATCGGTCAATTTGACTTCTCAACAACATTTGACAGGAGATGAGTAAACAGAAATCGAGTTCATCCTCGAGTAAAACTAATGGCACGAAAGACAAAGAAACGTTGAAACCGTCGAAATCGTCTGCTTCAATCCAACGTCGAACAACTGCACCGCCTATTGTTCAAAATGTGATTCTCGTTTGGCTAGACGAAAAGATGGATGAAAAGGGTAACAGTTTCTGGCGTAATGCAATTGCAGAATTTCGTCATGAGATAAATACAATTCATACATTCACCGAATCGGATCCATGTGTTCTGTTTCTCTCGAAACATATGGACGAGAAGATTTGTCTAATTATTTCTGGTACACTTGGCCAGAAAATCATTCCGACGATTTATAATATGTCGCAAGTGTATTCGATATTGATCTTCTGTGACAATAAAAAGGAATTCAAACGATGGGCAAAGAATTGGACGAAGATCTTTGGTGTTTTTACTCATTCAGCTGATCTTGCCAAAGCACTGGAAGAGATTGTAGACATATGTGAACAGGATTCGATCGGAATCAACCTCTTGTCAATGAATGATGTCGATGCAGCGAAACGAGACGAAGATCAAATGCCGTTTTCGTTTGTCTATCCTTCGATATTGAAAGAAATTCTACTGACAATTTCGTTCGATGATCAACGCTTGGATGAATTCATCGACTACTGTCGTGGTGCATTCAACAAAAATGATCAAGCATTGCACACGATGAAAGAATTTAAGCGAACTTATAAGGAAAAGACTCCTATCGAATGGTTTGCACAGAATTCACTTTTGTATTCAATGATCAATCGCGCTCTTCGACTTCTCGATCTGCAATTATTGATGAAATTGGATTTCTTTCTAATCGATCTGCATCGTCAAATCGAACAATTGTCTGCAGAACAATATCGAAATCATGATAATGAACAATCAGTAACATTTTACCGTGGACAAGGTTTATCTAAGGCAGATTTCGATCGACTGGCGAAACTTAAAGGTGGTTTCATGTCACTTAATAACTTTTTGTTCGCTAATACGGATTCGAAAGAACCTCTCAATATCGCTCGTGATGCTGCAGAAAATCCTGATCTGATCGGCGTCCTATTTCACATATCTGCAAATCCTTCAAAAGCAGTAGGACCTTTCGCTTCAATTAGTAAAGTTATCTCATTACAAAGCTCAGACGATAACATTCTCCTCTCAATGTTCACGATCTTTCGTATCGGTAAAATGAAACAAATCGACGGAAATAATCGACTTTGGCAAATAGATTTAACATTAGCAACGAACGATGACTCAGAAATTCGGATACCTGCGGCATACGCTAACGAAAACACTAATCCAAACTCCAAAGGATGGGGACGACTGGGCATAGTCTTGATCAAAATGAGTGAATTAGAAAAAGCGCGTCAAGTTTACAAAACTATGCTTGAACAAACGTCTGACGGTCAACAACGAGCCGGTATATATCATCAACTAGGATGGATCGAGGATAGACAAGGACATCACGAGCAGTCTATCTCATTCTATAAAAAAGCACTGGAAGTTTCTCTAAAATCACTTCCTGCAGATCATCCTGATTTAGCGATGTCTTATAACAATATTGGATTGGTTTATTACACTAAAGGTGACTATTCAAAAGCACTTTCAGCACATCAGAAAGCATTGGCTATTCGACAAAAGACTTTGCCTGCGAATCATCCCGATCTGGCAATGTCTAATAATAACATTGGCATGGTTCATGTCAATATGGAAAACTATGCCAAAGCAGCATCATTCTGTGAACGTGCAGTACAAATTGGAATGCAAGCGTTACCACCAAATCACATACATCTTCAACACTACAGAGAACATTTCGATTTAGTTAAGAAAAAGTTATAATTACTACTTTTCGTCTAACGAAAATATAAATTGACTTAGGATACATCATAGAATTTGTGATTTACATATATACACAGAAATATTCTGACTACTATAACAAAAGAATGCAGATTTTTCGTTGGATTTAAAACGTAAAAATAATATCGATCACAGCATTTAAACAGACATAGAAAAATTCATATTTATCATCCTAGGCAGTAGTTTAGTGCTTATAAATCAGAACAGTGCTTCTAGAAAAATTTCATCCAATCATCATGAAATCAATCCGAAATTCTCGAACTATGAATAGCAGGAGCATAATCAAGAGAACATGTACATAGCTGTTTCAAGAGAATTACCGTTGGATTTTGGATTAAGCAGATTTAACAACAGATTTCCATTTCTACTATATGGAATACTACCTACTATTACGACAATAATAATATGCTTAAATGAAAGAAAAAAAACTTCAGCGCAATAAATATTTGTAGAACAAGATATTGAATTCATACTATTTAATCATGTTCATTTGTTTGTCAAATATCCACGTGGATTTATTTCAAATTTCAGTTCGAGAAAAAAAAGAAAGAAAAGAATCAAGCGAAGGGCAAGGAAAATAGTTTTTTTTTGTCTATATCTATCAAGCGAATTGAATTGATTATGATGGCTAAAACAAAAACAATGCATAAATAACGAAAAAAATCAAATACTCCGAAACATTGTTTCCATTTCAACTTACTCTGAAATTCATAATCACATGAATTTCTCCATGCGATGATAAACCAAGGTGTGCTGGTAACTTGACCCATTCATCAAACTTTCCATCATCAAAAACGTGTTTCAACTTGACTTTACAATCACCAATAGAATCTCTATCGCCAACATCTTGATCATAAACAGCGAAATGAATGGTATCATCGCCATCGTGAACATTAAAAGTCAATCGTTCATTCCAGACTGGATCATTCGAGTTCGGGATCGTCTTCGTACGTTGTTTGTACTTTTTATCTAAATACACTTCGACGTAGGCATCATTTTTGCCGATTGTATCTTGATCCTTTAATTTTCGTCCAGCAGCGACAATAACTTCAAGCGTACCGTTTGGCATTGTAAATTTACTGACTATCGATATCAAATGTATATACCTCTCTTTATATACGCTCTTATTTTATTGACAGCATTATTCACGATTGTTTTCTTTTCTTGTTCGGTACGAACGAGGTATTTGAAAAGAAAAAAAGAAATCGAGATTACAATCCGATGGTTCTCATTTGTTCTAAACAAATATTATTGTATTTGTTAAGCATATATAGAATATCATAGAAGTACTCACAAGAAATAAATCATACGGGTAAATAAAAGTAATTTTAAATTCTATCCACATGTTGCAATAACCTTCTAAGTCATTCGTTATAATGATTCATATTGAAATAAAATTATACAATCTATTTATAGGTTCTGTTTTTCAATACCGAAAAAACAATCGAATGAAGTCATATATAACAGTGAAGACTTTGCCCGCTCGAAACATTCAAGGATTGTATTCTAATCTTCATACATCTTAGGTCTCTACTACATACATGATCATCATCATCATTCGGTTATCTCTTTATCTTATATATAGTGTGATCAGAGATAGCGTGATCTCATCAATATTCACATCTATACCTTAATGTTCTTGTTAATCACCTACAAGACGTATACGAGTAGTAAATTACCGGTAGTCAATATTTCGTCTTATTTATCAAAATAAATTTCGTGAAAACGTATGATAAATGATGTTATATGTCAAGTATGTAATTTCCGTATTTTTGTCACATCATAAATTGAGATACACTCAATTAATTTCCTAATCTGCACAGCATGCATTGCGCATAATTAAACTGTCGAAACACACCATAATGATCGTTGCCAATCCAACGTGTTTTTCTTCATAGTATAATCATATCTCGGTAGATTGCTTATGTTTTGTTGCCATTTACTTTGATATTTACAATGGTATGTCTCATATTGATTATCTTCTATTCACTGATCGATATAATCAAACTCATCTGGGAAAGTAAAGATGATTCACCGGACGGGTAACTCATTCCAGTTTCGATTAAATAGAGACTGTACGTGTTGTGTGTTTTTCTCTCTATACGATGATGATTATTATTTCAATAAGCGTCGCTCATCAGAGTCTTTGATCGTTAATTATATTGATTGTGACAGTTCTATGACAAATGCTTTGAACTTTTTTTTTTCAATCACGTTTAGTCAACGGTATTTTATTTCGCATCTTAACTTTCATTATCTTTTTCTCATCACCAATTTGAGACGAAACAGAAAAGATTTGTTTCGAGAATGAAAAAGTCATCGCACGTGGGTATGTAAGACCGTTTACATCGAATAGACAGTCTTATCATCCTGTCATCAATGATTATCATTCTTTCCACTGACATTCATTCATCACCTTCGAGCAATTACGCATAGAAATCAAGGACGTCATTCTGGACGATTCGCATTTATATGAGAAATGTTTAATTTGAATAGTTAGAAGAAGAAGAAGTCAACTATAACAAATGCTTGACATGAGAAAAACTCAACAACAATAGGTAAACAAAGACATCAGAAAGATGGTTATGGCAAAAAAGAAATTCTAATTAGAAAGAAAATAAGAGTATTCAAGAAATGAACACTATTTGTTTCTTCTTCTTACCAAGATGAGGGAAAAACAACCACATCGTAAGTGTTAAGCGTCAAAAGACAGAACTACGACAACAAACAAGAAATTTTACATGCAAAGCAACAAATACATCAAAACAACGGTCGTCTTTCATTTGACAGTAACTGTCTTTTCCGCAACAACCTAAATAAAAACAAAAAAAAAAGTAGTTGAAGACTTAATAAACTAAGCTTGTTTATTTACATTTCCATCTGTGTCTTCAAGAATAGTCTTTTTATTTTCATTTCCTGCTGTGAACCATTTATTTGTGCGTAGTTTTAAATTTGTTGGCGGATCTACTGCAATATCATTGACATCCGAACTCCAGATCTACAAAAATCCAATCGATTCAACAGACAAACGTAATTCTTCTTACTGTAGTTGTTGCACCAGGTCTCAAAGCCATTCCTCGCGGAAATTTGAATTCATACGATTGTGAACCAACTTTACGTTTGAGTATCCAGCCAGCAAGTGCCATTTCGCGTGACGAATTATTGATTAATTTCACAAATTTTGGATGTGCGCTTTCGTCATCAACGATATTGATTCCGTCGAGCAATTGAATGTTGATCAACGGACGTTCAACGGAATCATGACGTGGACGTTTACGTGAGGAATATGTTCGGTTCGATCCAGCTGTTGTTGTTGTTGCACCACTATCGGAGACGAAACTTTCATTTGCACCGCCACTACTCAAACGAGATGAAGTAGCAGATATGTTGAGGCTAAAAAGAAGATAATGAATGTTTCAAAGTATAAGAACACTTTTGTTTTCTTACCGTTCTTCTTCAGATTCGAGTAGTTTTCTGTAAGTAGCAATTTCTCTATCGAGACCGATTTTGATATCTAATAAATTTTGATAGTCAATTTGCATTTGTTCGATTTGTTGTTTTAAGCGTTGTAATTCATCTTCACGTTCGGCAAGTAACGCATCTTGTCGTTGTTGAGCATTATGAAGACGATTTTCCAAGTCTCGACAACGTTGTTCCAAAAAGTTAACTTTGTCATTTAATGCATCACGAGATTTGGTAATATCATCGATACGTTCACGATAGGATGTGACATCGGATCGATATGAACCGACTTGATCCGCATTTCGACGAATGGTGTTTTCTAAGTTTTCTATTTTTTTCTCGTATTGCGAAGCGATTTCATCACGTAGTGACTGTATTTCGTCTTCGGTCTGCGTACGTAATTGCTGCAATTCATGTAATAATCGATCATCGTATTGCTGACGAAGATTATCATCGTAGGATCGAACTTCAACACGTTTCTGTCGATGAATTTCCTCGATTGCCTACGAAATAAACAAAACTAGACAAAAATTGACTTGATTTTCACTCACTGTCTCGTGAACTTGTTGATTAAACTGTAATTCTTCGCGTAATGTCTTATTCTTATTTTCCAAATCAATGCGAAGGAGTGTTTCTGATTCGAGTTGTCGTTTCAATACATTGATTTGCTTTTCAAGTTCGCCGTTAAGACCACGGAGATTCTACAAAAATCGAAAATGTACTTTGCGGTCAGCAGGTACAATGTCTACTTACCGCGTTATCATCTGTTTTGCGGTTATTATCGTAAACTAGCGCTTCGTTTCGTGCTTTTAAATCAGCCAATTCATTTTCGTATTGTTTCAAACGAGCTTCAAGAGTGCGGAAGTCGCGTTCCTTTCGAGCAAGTCTAAGTTTAGTGAAGTTCAACAATGAAAAGTGTGAAGTTTTCTAGGTCTATACTTTGCAAGAGCATCTTGTGCATCCGCATCGGCTTTTTCTGATTCGATTTGGAGACGAGTTTTATCTCTGGCTAATTCTTCGATCAAAGCTTTTGCATCTTCAAGTTCGCGTTCATACAACTGTTTGACTTTCGATGCTTCTGTTTGGTATGTATCAGTGTACGTAGCAATGACACTCTTAAAACAGGAAATATTCGGAGTTTTTTGTTTGATTTCAACAAATCACTTACTCTTAATTCTCGATTATCTTGTTCTAAACGTCGTACGGTATCAATATAAACAGCTAAACGATTATTGAGAGTTTCTAATTGTTCTTTTTCTTGGGCACGAGAGATATTCAATCCCGAAGAATTCGCTGGCGAAGCAGCGCGGGTACGCGAAGCAGACGCTGATCGACTGGCCATAGTTAAAAATTTCAAATAAGTAAAATACGAAGTCTATTCGAACGACGTAGATCGTCTAAAAAGGTAAACAGAAACAAATTAACGCTAGTTTGTTATTATGTTATTGATGAAGAGAGAGGTGAAAAAGAACGTGCCCTTGGGTAATGATGAAATCAAGATACAGTATTTTCTTAATCAGAATAAATAGACCGAACGAAAGGAGAAGGATATTTATTACCCATTCGTTTCTCGATGATTTCGTTGTCTCTATCATCATCCATAGGTCACCATTCTCATCTATTATTCACAACTCTTGTTTTGTCTCTCTCGCTCTCTTTTTCTCTACAGCATAGCGTTGATGTGGCTAGAAGAGACAAATCTCATTGGTGGCGATTTCAACGACGATCACCTACAGCGCTTTTCGTTCGTTCTGGATCATCAAATTGATTGCCGGCGAAAGAAAACCTTTTATCATTCCAGAAATCAGGAGACACATGCCCGATTCAGTGAAAACAGAGATCATACTTAAGAAAAGATGCAAACGAGATGATATTTCAAAACAGATGTCGTTAATTTATAGTCGTTCGATCGATCGGACGAGCGATAACACTTGATCATAGTAATTTATCTAGAGGATATGGAGCACAATTAAATCGAAAGAATAGGAGAATGTGTTTGAATATGCTTGAATGTCTCGAACGCTAATGAATGTATGATATGATTGAAAAGTAAACAATACTCTTATTGAAATGTACGTCTCGTTGATTCATTGAACAATTACTGTAGGCATACGTGGCAAAATGTATTCGACAGTCTTTGTTTAGTTCTATATTGATCTAATAGGAAGACAAATTCATTTGTACGGTCGACTTGAATTTTCTCGGAGACACTCGCGTCTTTGATGAGACAAAAAAAGACTTGATAATTAGGTTTATTAAAAGGAAAGATTTCTAGTGGCAACTAATTTTTTTCTTACATTGGAAATGTTTATTTTGATTGTACTCATTCGATATACAAAGAGAAAAGATCGATAGTTTTTATCTGACAAAATAAAATAAGATGAATTTGATTACGATTTGATAGGTGCTTCGATAAGTAATAGAGGTTGTTCGATTTGTGCACGTTCTGCTGCAACAACGAGAATCGTCGCACCACAAACACCTGCCGGTAGAAGAAGAAGAAAAGCGCCGGGAATAAAAAAGATAAGTTCCATCGATAAACCAAAACCAAGTGTTGCCCATCGGTAATGTTTGAACCACGGCGTTCGTTCACGTACACCAAGTAAGTGTAATGATAGAGGATAATCGATGATATCATAAGCAATTATGAAGCCGGTGAAAAGAAATTTCAGTGGGATTGTGAGAAAAGCAGCCGGTGGAAAGAAGAATGCTGTTAATGTTAAAATGAGTAGCACGGGACACGAAACAACTATTGAAACAAGAGCGACGCGAATACTTCGCCATACACTTGCACAGAACGATTCTTCAGGCCGATTCGGATATTTCAATTCGCGTTCTTGAGCACGAACAAGACTTTCCAATGCTGGTGAACTCAATGGCTGTGCGGTGAGAAATGCCAAGAGTAATGAAAGGAAGATGGCAACTGCGTATAGCAGGAACCGAAGCATCCATATACCGTAGTACATCCAACGAGAGTTGTATCGTTGGGTTAAATGATTTGTAAATAGATGCATTCCCCAAACACCTGGAACTGAGAACGCGAAAAGAAGAAGAGTGAAAATAATCGCAGGAACAAGTGCTCGTATCCATGTCGACGGATGTGTAAGAATAAAGAGGAAACCTTGAAATGGTGCGATAAATCCATTGAAAAAACCCGGTGGTGACAGCTTTGTTCGATTTAAATCAATGACTATTTGCTCAATCAATGATTGCCGGTCATTGTAACAGCCGTGAATCTTCGAAGAAGTTTTAACAGGCGATTTGCTCGATGAAAGGATATAAACAGTCGAGATTTGTTTTAATTTCAACAAGCGATCGATCGATATAGTTGAATCAGTAATAACAAGTGTTAAACCACGTAATGTCGACGGTAACGAAGATATAAATTGATAACAAACATCTTCGCTAGTGAATAGAGCTGTATAGGAACGCAATTCATTGGGAATCGGTTCATCGTGTTCATTTTGTAACCAAACGATATTTGTTGTTGTGCCCATGTTTATGCGTTTGAAGATTCGAATTAGAGAAAGGGATGTGATGAAGATGAAAAGTGTCTTCTAGTTCATTGGACTTTTCTGTTCCTACCAATCAGAATAAAGAACGACATTCTTGTTAGAGAACATAGAATAAATAAGCATATTGTATGGTATTACATATATGCACGACGAAACGGTGCGCCACATGTTCAACGGATGATGATAGAGAGTGCTGCATACACACAAAGAGGCCATTCGCACATGTTAAAAGGTATGATATTCATGACAGTTTGTCTAGTTGTTTTTCGACAGTCCATCACGTTCAATTGATTGAATTACGACGGTCTATCGACTGCTTGGCTAATTCGATTTCGATGATGTGAAAGACAAGTTGATAATGATGAGTTATCCGTGAAAGATTTATTATTGAATTCAATATAGAAAAATATGACTTTTTATACACTGATGAGAATGTTTTCACGATGGACGAGGGAAAAGAAAATATATAAGTAGTTCTTTACGTGAAATAACAAAAACAAATTCTGTGTTAAAAACATGAATAAGTCGTTTCTTTTACTCTCGTATCCGGATCGATATTCGTACCATAAACAGTCAAATAACGACAGAAACATCTACAAAGAACACAATGGAAAGGCATTTATATATATATATATATATATTCTTGACTTATTACTTGATTCTGATGATCGGAGAATTATACGGAGTAAAATCGAGATTCCACAGACATGGTTTGTTCTTATTTCGAAGAGAATCATTGATTTCTGATGTTGAAGGATTGTCTACACTTGCCGAACGACTGATCACGGATAGTTTACGATTGCTGTTAGAAGAAGATGAGTTGTTTGCAGCATTGGTCGATTGTTTATCAGTTTTTCCTGTTGGTAAATTTCCAGCACTGAACAGACTCAGTAACGACTGAAAAATTTCATTAGAATATTGTTTTTAAATGATAAAAATAGAGCAAAAACACTTACGCGTGCAGGTCGCAGTGTACCACCCGTTGTTTTTCTATTCTTTCTTTGTTGTTTGTCGTCATCAGTTTCTTCTCGTTGAGCACTTGACGGTCGGGGTAAAGGAATCTTATTTTTCTTTAATTTCAACGATTGAAATATTCCACTACGACGGCGTGTTTTCGTCGAATCGTATTGATCGATTTGTGGACTATCCATTTCGCTTTCTGATTGTTGAGATTGACGATTTTTGAAATGAAGTATCGATGTATCGACACTAGTTGACGCTTGTAGATTGTGCCGAATCGGTTCATGACTTTGCTGATTGAGTTGTTGATGACCGCGACGTCGTCGTCGTCGAATATCATCTGATATTGGTTCACTCGGTGGATGAGGCTTATGTCGTTGTGAATGATTAGGTTTATTTTCATTATCAGACATGTCTTCATTGGATGAATTATCTGACGGCGTTGAATCATACGGATTATCAGTATTTCTTATATCATTGTTATAAATATCATTGACAAACTTCAACTCAATCTCGACTTCTTTAACTTTGATTATATTTGTAAACGAAAGATCATACTAAAAAGAACGAATCCGAGTTATGAGATGGTTTCTTTTTCAAGTATATGAATGGTTTTACTTGATTTTTCGAATTTCCATTTCGTTTAATATACCGTAAAAATTCTTTTCGATTAACTGCGTCAATTACAACTAAATCAAGGAATCCATCAGCTATATGGCCGAATTTTGATAAACCCTGTGGTGCAAATGACCATAGATTAGCATTGGTAAAAACCGCAGCTTCTAATAAATTATTTTCTATAACTTTCCAATTCTTCTCTTCATCATATTGAAGATTGTAACTTCTTCGACCCGCAGATGATATTCGATGATTGTTCTCATTATTTGAAGTTATAGATCGTCTTCGTCGATTTATTTCTTGCATATGGGTATTATCAAACGCTTTTACTTGATCATCACTTTTTTCGACAACGGTCGGAGTGCATAACGGGCAACTAGAAGAGACAAGACGACGTTGAGATAGAAAATGTGAATGAGATATTTCATTATTTTACCCTCGATAGCATCGAGTAATCATTGAGTTCGTTTGGGGTGCTGCGATATATCGAATCTCCATTTGAAATGGTCTAGCAAAGGTAAAAATAGTTCGAAAACTTTCCTTCTTTAATTAACTAAAATCTCCAGCTGCGAATGATTTTCAGATTTTGCAAAGATCTTGATATTCCTGCCAGGTAAACTAGTCTGAATTTTTGTCTGTGAATGACAAGTTCATATATAGGATTAGCTACTTCAATAAGAGGAAAGCATCTTAGGTAGTCAGCTTCAGTGCAAAGATTATTGTTCGATGATTTGGGTGCTACTTATCATTCCCCGGAAGAGTGACGATAGAGACCACCGTTCGAATAGTAGAGAACCGTGTTAGACAATAAAACTATGAAGTAAATCTTACTGTAGATATTTCTTCGAAGCCGCTTTTGCGAAGGATTTTTTAATAATCGTTTTGGGACTATGTAAACTATAACGTGGAAAATATTTCAGCGCATTGGCTGGATAACCTGCAGCAGCACCGAAATTAGCTGTGACAAATTTGTAATCTACATCAAACACTGCAGACATATCGATTTTCATCGTGTGATCTAAAGATTTCGAAAGTAATCCCTTAAAATCAATTCATGTCATTTCTTACTGTAAATTAAATGTAAAATAGGTGTACAATGATCGATATTTCCATGTAGCGTATGAGAAATGATATTTGTCGTGCCTGAAAAAAAGAAGAGAAATGATTTCAAGGGAAAAAAATTCATTGAAAAGATCTTACCATCAGGTACAATACAAATCGGAAAAGGTATTGTTGGTAAATCTGCTCTTATATCTAATCTGAAACCGAATACGAATCAATACTCATAATTAAACTCTATTGTTTTCTCTACCTCGTACGATATTCTCTCGCTAAATAAACTATTAACGCATTGATAACATTAATCACGGACCCATCACCACCGATGATCACCAAACTATTTAAAAAACGCGTTTTATTCAATCACACTTTGAAATCTAATACCTGTCTATCGAATCGAAGCCACCTTCAACATTCTGCAGCGCTTCGTCAGCACTGAACTGATCGCTGATTTCTAAATGAAAACGCTTTACTTTCCGTAAAAATCTTCGATCAAAGATTTACCCATATAAGTTATTTTATAACGTCGTGTTTCAAGCATCGGTTTGATCTTCGTATTATATACATGTCGACTATGTCTTGGACCAGCATAAGGATTACAGAGAACGAAGATGTTTTTCGGGGGCGTTACTAAGCAAAGTTGAAAAAGTTATAAACTGTCTTTTCCTCTCTCTAATTTGTAATCATTCTTACATGCGATGATAATCTTCGATAGAAAATGAAACCATTGTTCGATTAAGTTCGGATCGTCACTTTGAAAAACAATGAGAATTTCTTGTAGAACGTTATCGGTTAAAGTCTGATAAGAATGTAATTGAAAACCGCGGAGAACAGAATTTTGAGATAAAGGTGTCGACGAAAGATTCATAGGGCCACTTATACTATTCGATGTGGAAATCATTGTGCCTGCTATATTTTCATTGACGTTCATTGACCAATTCCAATGTGAATGGATTGGTGTGATACCAAAAACATCGTTGAGATTAATCGAATTTTGATTATTTGGATCTGGTGATGGTCGTCGATGGATTTCATTGCCGACCGCTAAGAAGAATTCTTCGATAGGACATGAAAATTCTTGTTTCTATGATAATACATACGTTCGCCAGTAACATCCGCCCAGCTTAAAACATTATTTGCGAAAATGACTTCAACAGTCTTATTTTGAATGGCAAAAAATGCTCGTTCATAGGTGGTGTCAGTATTTGCGTCATAACGGTTTCTATCTTGATCGGAATGATGTCTTAGATTATCGTTTTCTTCCAGAAATTCTTGATTAGTCCTTCTTTCATTGTCTTGGTTTTCATCGTCGTCTCCAAATGCAACTTTGATTGTAGCTAATTAATTCGAAGTAAACTAAAGTTTACAAAAAATATCAAACCAATGATGAACAAACCTGGAGGTGCTGCCGCCGGCGCTCGACGTCGACGTGCCTGAGTCGACATCGACTTGGTTCGTATTTTCTATAAACACAAGAAAAGAAATGAGTCTTTTCTTCTCTCTTCGTTTTACATATAAACAAAAAACATTTTCAACAACGAGAACAATCAGTCGCACTTTGAACGTACTCGTTACTCACATCTTTACAATACGAATGAGGATTGATCGAAAAAAAAACGGAGCAATGTTATGAACATGAAAACGAAGAAGTCGCCATAGGAGACAACAGTGTACAGTGCTCTTATTTGTTCGTTCGTTCGTTCGTTCGTCCGCTGATGTGTATATACATACATGCTAACCGACGAGAGTACCGCCAAAGCAACATCAGACAAGTTTGAAGAAGTAAAAGAAAAGAAAAGAAAACTGAATGCGAGAAATTACGACTCTTTTGAATTTGTCGGAGAGAACATTATTCGCAGGAATTCTTTTTTTTTTAAACGAAGAAACGAGAGAGAGAGAGTGAAGAAAAAAAGGAAGAACACAATGCTTTGAAAAATGTTGCGAGAAGATTGCTGATGACTACACATTGTCAAGGTCATTAGAAGAAATGTATCTTGACTAATGGTTTACAATTGTCTTATTTGACTTTCTTTGAGGAAAGAAATCGGATTATTCTACTTTGTATAGAGAAAACTAGATCTCGTACTTTGAGACGGTCTCAACAATCAATGCAACATGATCTTCAAAGGTATTCGCCGATAAATTGTGAAGGTTCAGTCTAACATCAGTTACCGGAGTTTGTTGAAAAGATATTTCTCTTTTCACTGCATTTATTACTATAAAAGACTCATCGAAGAAAGGAAGAAGTAAAGTAAGGTGTTTTTCTTTGTGAAATATATTATGTAAATGCACGCAATGTAAAGAGCGCGCACATTATTCTAAGGTTACTTTATGTAATATATGCACTAGAAATGAGATGAATAAATAAATGAGCAGAAATATCAGCTGTAAGTGCGTACCCAAATGGTTGGCTTCGTTTTTGCTTGGTTAAAAATTGATTTTGACATCAATGAAAATGACATTGAGTTGTTGGAAATAATCGAAGAGAAGTGACTTTACGAAAGCTTTATGCTTGATTGTGCTGGATTAATTTAGTTCCAGTTCCCGTCACTAAGCCGTTCACTCGACATCTGTTTGTTAGAGAATGCTAAGTTTGAGTAGGCGTGTCTAATCCTACAGACTATCAAAATCATGCCATTGACTTTAGTAAATATTACTTTTTTTTCCTGTATGTTTCATATATTCTCTGCCGGAAGTCATTGACATTGAACTGTTCGTGGGATGTGACCCGATGTATAGATGGTCGCGCTCATTTTAAAGGAAGTTTTCTTCGAAATTTGACTGGTACACCGTTGTTGAAAGGAAAGTATTAGACATGAGGTTTTGTATGAATTATGATATATTTGCATTTCTTTGAGAGGATTAAATAACAAATTAAGTCAATGTTATTTCATAAATCTGAATAATGCATTGTTTGTGATCGATATCTGATCACGTTATATAATATTGCAACTTTTTCTCTGGAAAATGACTATGAACATAGAGCTGTTTGTTCACGCTAGACTTAACAAGATGTTTGAAAACAAGAAAAACAAACTTTATTAGAGAAAAATTTGAAAATAAACGGTATAATAGGTGTCACTTCGTTCATCAATTTGCTTTCATAAAAAATAACAAGCAATTCGACCAAACCATATCTGAGAATGTCATACGTGAATAATGGAATTTAATGCTGATGACGCGCTACTTCGTCCTCAATTAGTTTTTGTCGAATGTGAACCGGCAAAGCAAGATTCAGATTAAAAATAAAATCAAGCATCTTGCGATCTATACCATTAAAATTAATAAAAGTCTTGATGATCATTGTATCCTGGTAAATATACAAATTTTCATTCGCCGATCGGTTCAGTTCATCCAGTGGACAAAATTTGGGAATGCCTGACGCGATACTGACTGATAAAGTCGGTTTTTGAAAACTGATGCTTTTCGTATCTGGTTTAAAACATCCAATAATATGTTTAGGCTCCCTCGTACCGTTCGATTCAAGTATTGTACGTTGATCGCAAAGGCAAAAAGCGACACTAAATTGAAATGGCCACTTTAGGATTCCGTCAAACTCACCTCGAAGAACGACCAAGAAAATTGATGCATGACTGCCTCGTGATGTGCCATCGCCATTGAGATAGAGTCTGATACAAAGCTTGTAGCCTGTGGGTGATGTATAGAAAGGCGGTGAGTAGATACTTGTCTGTCGCTCAGACATAGCATCATACATTTTCTCGTGAACGTTGGTGATTTTCCACGCGATGATGTCGCCGCGTTCCTGAGGTAATATTCCATATCCATTGTTCACTTGCTCTTTCAGGGAAAAGATTTGTTGCTGTAAGACAGTTTCATTCAGGTGCACAGCATCTATAGACGACGCTTCAATTGAGAGCATCTCTTGAGTAGCATTGATGTGCTGTGGAAAAGATGAAATTAGATGTCGAACTAAATTTTCGTTGATGTTCGTGAGAGTATTTCGAGTTTGGTCGATATATTGTGCTAATGAAGAGAGTTTTTCATATAGTCCAAGGGAAGATTGGTGTTCGTCTTCCATGTTGCTGTTCGTATCTGTAGTATCAGCATCTGCAGTGTTGTCGATATATTTTGCATGTTCGGCGAGACTTCTTTGATGTTGTTCAGACTGAAAATGTTGTTGCAACGAACCTTCACAAATCTAGAGACAGACTTTCGATAAAGTTTTGTTAACCATTTGTGCAGATGCATATTACCTGAATATCTCTACAGTCATATGCATTGAGTGGACATGATATTACTGTCGTCTTGAATTCGTCATCAGTTAATTTATCACTCATTAAATCTAAAAGAATACAGTCGAAAATGAAATTGCTTTTCATACGAAATAATAATTCTAAGCACGGGAAAATACATGCACTTGACATGAGTAATGGGAACGAAGTTTTTACTTCTATGCATTGTTTGGTATTTGTAATAAATGCGCCAATCAAAACCACGGAGTAGAAGAAGAAAGCGAGCACATTGTGTATTTCATTGTTCTTACAAAGTGCACAAATCAAGATATCGCACATATCAACGCATAACAAATAGCTTACTTGTCCAGTTTTCAGATTCAAAATTTAACTGCAAACAATTTGAATGTCAATTCTATGTTGAAAATTGCAAAGTAAAATGTCATGCATTGTTTCTTCTATTGTTGGAGAATTCCAACTTCACTCATTACATCTTACAAAGTCATCAAAGTTATTTATGCAAGAAGCCATGAATTTCTCTGATTCATTCACGGCAAATGAAATGATTACAATCGTTACTATTATTCATTTTCCTTTTTACCTCAGGAAATGAGATAGTATGTTTGCGTTGAATCACCGAATTGGATATATATGTGTAATGTAGAAATTTCCAACGATGTTCGTTCAAAGAAACAGAAAGCTATTTCGACAACACATCTGCATCTGTTTTGTGATGGCTTTTGAAAATTTTACTCTTCGGTAAAAAAGGTGTCATTTTTTATAATTTATTCGAATACTTAATGATGAAGGCAGTGGAAAAGAAAAAGAGAACTGAATTGAAATCTTTACCGTAGTTAAGTAAACTTACAGCAAGTGTTAACTCAAGATTTAATATACAAAACGAACAGTTCGCCAGGAAATATTGCTTTGTTTCACAATCATGCGTTTTATAAAAGACGCATAGGGTAGATACATTTGTGTACGAATTATTTCTAAAGAAAAACGAATCTATAATTCGATTAAGGACAATGAATAATCATCTACCGAATATGAGAATTGTTGTAGTGGGTTTTCCTAGAAATTAATAAACGAAAAAACAAACATGATGAGTAAAAGAAAGAAAAAGTGATCGCCGTTTTCTTTTGAATATATGTCGCCAAGAAAGGTGTTGTCCTCTCTTAGGGGCTCACTGGTCAAGTTCGCCCAACAGCGCATGCAGCAAAAAACTAAGCTTTCTAGAAAAATCATCGATATTGCTGCTGCAACTGTGACTCGGCGCCGTGTGAAAGACCGACCTGACATTGAGTCTGTGTCTGTCGTCGCACGAGCTCAGTATTCACATGGCAGCAGCCTAGAACAAGGCAGATAAATAAGTAAGTATATCATGTCAATATTATCTTCCAGAATTTTTTATCCACATAGACACAGACATCATGAAACGATACAGTTAATAACAGAAAAAAAATCTAGATAATCAATCCAAGAATGAAAAGAGAGACATCGATTGCAACAAAAGAAAGAAACAAAGAATGTAACCACAAAATGAGAATTGTTCATCTTTTTTTTTTTAATATAGAACGAAAATAAGAGAAGGTAAGCAAAACATCCACGTACATCGTTTTGAGGGCTTGTTCAAGATTAAAATCGTGGACCATTGAATCCCATTGGTGGAAAGCCAGGTGGTGGGGCTAAAAATGGTATACCACCCATTGGAGCTAAGAAAACGATGCAAATAGTGAAAATATAAGCATAAAAGGTTTCAGCGGTTAGATGAGATATACATACGTCGTGCGAAATTTCCCATTGAAAGGCCGGCTGGTATCGGGGGCATTTGCATTTGTTGTGGCATCATCATTTGCTGATATTTCGGCAACGAAGCACGAAATTCTTCCTAAAAATGAATTACATATATGAATGAATTTACTGTTCGAAATCTGTAGGTGATGAGAGAATGTTTTTTTTGAATAAATTGTACTTACTAATGATATGTCATCATCTGGATGAATGATCTTAGCTGTACCTGCAACAGGTTCAATTTTACCTCTACTACCCGGCAAGGATCCAGGTGTAGTAGCTGACAAGTTTGATATAGCTGCGGCTGCCGACGCCATTGTTGACAAATTTGATGATGCGTTTGTATCATTGTTACTCTAGAATATCAACACAATGTTAAAGAACCCTCCATTTTTATTTCAATGCAACTTACATCTGAGGCTCCACTGGGAAATAATGGTTTAGCTGGTGCTGGAGGCATGAGAGCAGTAGGTGGAGGAACAGGTGCCCCTGGTACCATAGGCATTGGTGGCCGTAGTGACGTCATCATTGGCATGCCCATCATTGGAAGTTGCATAGGTGCAATACCAAATGGCATACCGGGAAAACCCATCGGCATGATTGGTGCAGTAGGCATCATACCCATCGGTGGCATGGGTGGCATTCCCATTGGCGGTGGTTGAGTTGCCTTGGGAGTATCAGGCGTATCTGGATCGTCTCTGTCTTTTCCGGCCAGTCGTTTTTCGTGAGCACGAAGATCTTCTTCTGGTATTCCTTCCATACCATAAATTTCGATTTCGATATTATCTCGTCCTTTGAGGGCATTTGGTACCTTATCAATATTTTCTTTATGTACCTAAAAACGAAGAATATCGGTCTTTGATCGTACTTTGATAAATGTGACCTACTTGGATTGAATGAATTTGCAAACCGGGCCCAGTGTATAACTTTTTGTGGCATATGTGACATTTGAAATGTTTTGCTTTTTGATGTTGTAAGAGAATTTTTTCATCATCAAATTCTCGATTACAATACCAACACCAAGGTTTCGTTTGTTTCTTTTTCTTTCTTCCCATGGTTCAGCAGACGTGAATGAACAGTATTTCGAAAACTAAAAAAGAAAAATATGTCAATATAATAATGTATACATTATTTAACTTCACTAATAATAGCAAATACACTCCCAATATGTTTTCTTTTTCTGTCTAAAATATCGCGATACAAAAAAAGCAAACGACAAAAACTGATTAAACGATATTGTACAAGGGAAAAATGAGAAAATAAAGAAAAGTATTTGTTCTTTGCTTTACGGTGTGCCAATAATACGATCTAAGGGATCTTTGAGACGTTGAAGGTCGTGTTCGACAATCATAATTTCATTTTTCAAAGCATTATAACGTGCGATATCGAAATTTTTCTTTCGCAATAAACGATGTAAGATTTTCAAATAGAAATAATCCGACATATTCATATACTTCATGTCATTACGACGAAGAACATAATAACAATAAGCCATAAATACAGTTGAATACGAAATAAAGTAAGTAAAAGGTTCCATAATATCCCAACTAAAGATAGAAACGTGTCATTCGGTACGAGATGAAGAATTCAAATACCTATAGTCAATCCACACTAAGCGAAACAATACACCAGTTTGAAAAGCCATTCCTGCCAGAATTGACCATTGAATCCTGAAAAACTTCATGTCATATGTTTACAAATGTAATTTCTTCTTTACCATTTCAATCGTCGAATCGCTTTATTAGCTAATTGTTGATGAATTTCATTCAGTGGCTGAACAGTGTTGCGTAAGTATTCTAATTGTTTTTCCAACTCTCGCTCTCGATAGGTAACATACTGATTAAGACGTAGGTCATAATAAAGCTTTGTAATCGAATTCGAAACGTCCGAAAGAACATCTCGTGATGGTTTATTCGAAGTAAATAGAGTCGGTGGTTGAATATTATATGAAGTTTCATTGACTCGCAATGTCGATGCTTCTTCGAAAATCAATTCAATTGGTGAATTCCGCGACAGACGAGATCCATCCGAAAGATAAACCGACGCTCGATCAATCCCACGGTCTTCTTTTTGTAAAACATCAATGAAATCCCCAATGGTTGTGTTAAACGGTTTTAACTAACGAATGAGAGAGAAAGTTGACCATATAGAACAAAAATAAAACCCGATTGTTTGTCTTACTTGAAAAACACATGATTCGCCACGGCTTGGTAGAGGAACTGTGATGTTGGCAAGTCCATCTTTGAATTCAATTTGTACTGATGATGTTGCAATTAATCGAACAAATTTCAATTGACTCGAACGATTCACTGTTGAGAGAATAAGTCGATGTAATAACATAGTTTATTCAGTTTGATCTACAAATTACATCTAAAATGTCGAAAATTACTGAGAATAAAGCAAACAGAAGTTATTCATTGGAAATATCAAGAATTAACTGACAGGACAATCGCTATCACCCTCTTTTTTCATATTTAACTTTTTTAATTCATTGTGAACTTGTTTTTCGAGATCGAGAACAGCTTGAGGTTTTTTATACTAAATCGAAAAGAGCAAAATTCGAAAGATTTCGATTAATCACACCTACTGAAATGATCAAAGTATTGTTCGCGTGCGTATATGACAAGCGATTTTCTTCCAATGGAAGATTCAATCGATCCAGATCAACAATTGTAAAACGTTTAAAATATCTACAATTGTCAATGTCAATCATCTTCGGAAGTTTCGAATAAATTCATTACTTTTTGTTCGTTGTTCGTAGAACAAATTCGCGTTTCTCTTGATCAATTGTTAGTTGATACGTATCGATTGGATACGATAAATTTCGTATACGAATCTCAAACGAATCATTCTTATCATTCCGTGAAAATAGTGGCTATGAAGAAAAGATCGTTTTTACTTCGAAGTACAAAGTTATAAACCTACTGTCGAAGTACTTTCGGTGAATCCTAATGAGTTATCTGCAACTGGTTTCATTTCATAGTTTTGACCAACTTCGAATGTCCAAGCATCGGATGATGACGCTGTTTTCAAACCACTGGTTGGTTTCTGACGCCATTTACGAACTAGAAAACGAATATCGAACAGGCATGTAAATAGCAATTAATCATACTTAAAAGTATATTTGTTTTCGCATCGTACTCTTCGACCATTTCAGATTGATCATCGAATGTATAATGAATCTTCTGACGATCTACAAAGAAACCAATGCAATAGGAATTTTCAACTGGATAGTATTCAGTAAGTGACAATACCATTTTGAAGTAAACCAGCTTTCTTCGCTGATTTCAATTTTTCGATCCATGATGAATTGATTGACTGTGTCATTAGTGGAATAGGAAAGAAGCAATCGCGCTTAGTTACTTGTTTTGGTCTACTTGCGAAATGCAACAATGATTAGATTGTCCAGAGAATATTTGTTTCGGTTAACAGTCAATGGCATTTTTTTGTAGATATACCTGGAAAATTTTTCCGTTGATTTTCTTAAAAATAATAAAATCGCTTTTATTAAAGTAGTAGAAAATTTTTAATTGCAAAAAACTATGTTATAGATGTCTCTAGTGTTCACAGGTCGTTTCGAACTTATCAGTTTAGTTTCAATGGTTCAACGTATCAATATGAAAGAATTCACATCTTGAGAGTGAAGATGTATATTAAGAATCTCTTTTGAAAGCGAAACAATGATAATGTTATTCGTCAAAAGAATTTTCGATCATAGAGGAGTAAATTATTATTTCGCTATTTCAGTGTAATACAGATTATCCAAGGGGTCAACTTATAATCTCGAAATTATTTTCAAAATCTGTGCTGAACAAAAACACGCTTTGACATATGAATAGATTCACGTTTGACGTGTCCGCTACACGTTCAGTTTTATCAATCGTATAATAAATCAATTAAAGACTTGAATTAGAAAAATATCTTCTGACATCAACAATGAGCGGACTTGTGTCTGAATTGTGGATGAGGATTAAAGGAAAAACACTTTTGTGCATAAGATATACAGTATCGATGCGGAATAGGTTATTTGAGAACAAGTTGAGATTCAGTGCTATCTGAGAACAGTATTTTCGGAAGAAAATGAACTTAACCAAGCCACTGAATATCTTTTGAAGTATAATTACACCATAAATAAATCTTTTCATGATAAAAAACATGAAAATCTTGTCTTTTATGACACTATTTTGAAAATCATTAGCATACAATTAGTTTTTTGTTTTGCGTATTTCAATTTTGATAACATTCACTTACAGTTCAAATGGTTACAACACAAAAAGATAAAATAGGATAGTTTTAATATAAAATTTATTTAACTCCATGTCAGCAGTTTTATTCTTTATGCAGATTCAGTACTCAGAAGAGGAAAGAAATCGAACAATAGACAGATGAAACACAGTTTATACGATAAATTATTACCCTCTGAACTACTTAAGAAAACTTCTAGTTCAAGTTGTTGTGTCTGATCTACTGATAAAGAAATCTTCTCAAACATCTTATCGCTTTCTGGATCAGACACGCTGAGCTTTTGATTGTCGAGTTTGCTGGTTCCCAACATTGGTATAGAAAGTGTCCTTAGATTCTCTAAATGGATTCATAAACATGTTCCTTCGGTTTAGCCTATGACATGATACATACTTCGAAAAAAAACATCTCTTTCTCAGTATAGTAAACTCGTAAAACCTAAAACACTGGAGTTACTGAGCAAATGCTCAGATCGAAATATCATTACTCGGTCTGCCAGTATGTAACATAACATAGGCTAAAAATTAAGTCAAATGTCTATAAATCCACACAGAAGGTCTGGGGAGCTTTTTGTATCGATTTGCGAGATTGACAAAGTCGTTGGGTTAATAGTACCCAAAAAAGTCTTATTCAGAACGCGAGTAGATACTAGAGAATAATCCCTTGAAAGCTGAATTTTTGAGAGTGTTTATTTAAATTGGATTATTTGTGAACTAAGAAGATTAAGCTACTGTTTTAGTGAAAAGCAACTTGACTAATGATGAATCACAATGTGATTTTTCGTTGGATCTATGAGAGAGGAAAGAATTACAATTTATTTATACTCGATGAGAATGATTATCATGATGATGATGATGACGAACAAGAAATACAAGATCCTGAAGTCCTTCTTAAACAACAAAAGTATGCAACTTGGCTTTATGTTCTGCTTCTGCTAGGTGAGTTCGACGAAACTTTGTTTTTTGCTTTCCAATACTGAACTTCATCGATATTACGTTCATTTCTTTAGTATCACTATACGTTCTCTTCTATCTTACTTTGATGACATTATACTCTCAAACAATCACTGTTTCTCCTATCACTCGAAGTCGTTTCGAGCACCTTCACGTGGATCATGCGAAAACTCTTTCATGCCCGTGTTCGAAAACTGCAATACCACATAGAAATTTTATTTCCAACAACATTACATTTCATCCTGTCTGTTCGAGTGTTTTTGTTAGTGAACCATGGATCGAGGCATTGTATTTGGTGAATGCAAGTGATTATGGACCAGCAGATTTTCGAGCCACAGCAAAATCTCAAGTGAGTAAATGTGTTGATGAGCGAGATTGGGTAAGAACAGAATATTATCAATAAATGGGAAATTAATCAAATCTGGCGCACAATGCCGAATCCACACAGTTGTATATTTATTAGTGATTAACTGAAGACATGATAAAAATATGTCAGGGTTATGATTTGTTTCGCGACAACTGACTTTAAAATATTGTGGTATCGAAACAGCTCAATACAAAACTTATAAAAAGACTTTCTAGAATCTGTTAACATAGACGTAATAACTTCGCTGTGATTGTTTTTCATTTGCTCATAGTTTCAACTTTTGGCTGATCTTTGTTCAATATCCAAGGGCTCAGTTAATCAAACTCAAATGGATTTCGACGATGATGAGTATACTACAACGCAGCTGTTTCCTCAAGAACAAGTGCAGTCGGAATCGAATGTTGCTGTTGATGTTATTCAAAACGCCATTTACACTCAAATAGTTTCATTTCTAAACTACATCAGAGCCTATGGTCGTTCCAGCTATATAGTATCGGCTCTTAACACAAATACAATGTTTTCCACCTATCTCACTAATGCTCAATATAATGTCTATCAAATACAAACACAATATACGGCAGATACGAGTGTTTACGTAATATCAGTAGATTCGGTGTTGTGTAGTATTCAAAATCCTACAACTCCAACAGGTTTCTTTCCCAATCTAGCTACAACAGCAGTTTTTGTCCGTAGTGTATGGACGAAGCCAGCAGCAAACTCGACACTTGTCAATGGATTTTTTACAGGATGTACATCTCTCGAAGCTCTTCTCGTGAGCACACTTGATTGTTTATATGATAGTCAATGCATTCAGACGTTGACCGGATATTTTCCAGCGCTGTCTCAAGTTTGTACAGCGAAATTCATCTTCATCATTNCAGAATTCAACATACAATTGAATGCAACACTTGATCAGTTTATTCTGTCTACCATTCGCTCTTTTGATTCTCTTATCAATATAACAACGCTTCTTACACAAGTTGATCAACTCTATCTAGGTCTAAGAGAAGCAAGTTGGGCTACTAACGCGGACCAATTCGCATCGTTTAATATTGTAACAAGTAATGCAACTGGTAATCAATCACTAAAGGTATGTTTTTACTCTTTATCATGTTAATCACATACTCGCATAGTCCTTTTGTTAATATTCCTTGGCAAAAACAAAAAGAATACATCTTCACATACGAAATATCAACCATAAATAATTCATCTCTCTTAGGTTATTTTCAATTCACCTGGAACTCTCAATGTGAACTTATCTGGCATCAATTGTATATGTGCCACGAATCCTTCTTGTCAAACTCCCGTTGCCATTTATCAGATGGATAGTATTTGGAGTACTCGTATTGCTACATATATCGTTTATATCGTGCCTGGATCTGTTGGAAGCTGTTCAACATTCAGTTCACTCATGTTTTCACAGTTTCTGTGTTTATATGCAAACGCTGATTGTTTTCCTACTGTAATGAGTTATGTGAAAAGCTCTTATTATGGAAATGTGTTGAATCCAACATGGTTTGATCCACGTCCTCTCACTTATGATCCAGTAAAGAGTCGTTTTCCTCCAAATACAACAATTTCATCCATAGTACAACAAATCATGGTTGAAAAGTGGAATCCATCATATTCATATAATCGTTTTTATCAATTATGTGCCCCCAGTTATTGTACTTATTCGAATAGGATGCGTGTTCGATCCATCATCGAAGTGATCATAACTTTTGTATCAATGATTGGTGGTCTTACCTTTGCATTGGGTGTAATCACACCGCCGCTGATTGAATTTATGGATGGTTTCGTAAGAACTTGTGTTCGAAGACGTCAGCAAGAATTAGGTAGGGTATTGTTCTTGATTTCATTTGATAAACTGAAAGGTAAGTGAGAGTGAATTTTGTGTATCCACGACTAGTAAACAGCAGTAATTGATTAACCTCATAGTGATTGTAGCTATGCCCCATAGATACAGTTATCTTTTTATTCACAGTTCGTCGAAACAATGTCAACCAGTTAAAGGTGGCTGCTAAAAATTTCCTCGCAGTGGGTTATAACTCTGTGCTCAATCTTAACATATTCTCAGCACGACATCTTGGAAATAACGTCGATCGAGCAACCACTAAGCATCTTGGCAAATGGGCAACACGTATTTACATTGTCTTATTCGTTACTGGGTTGTCGATTCTGACTTTGTACACCATACTTATACCTCAAACCATTACAAAAACCTTCAAAAAACCGTCATTCACATCTTACAATCAACTCAAACAACAATATGGAGATCAACTCAAGTGCTCATGTTCGGTCATTGCATCAAAATATGCTCAATTTACCCAGATCACATCAGTATTCCATCAAGTAAGATTCACTCATATTTAATATCTCATCCTCAATACATCTGATTCTAGATATGTACAAGTTCATTTGTCTCAGATCAATGGCGAATGGATGTCACAGGTGATCTCAATGCCAATCTTTCCACATATAGACGAACAGA